ACGGGGGTGTTTGTGAAAGCGCTGGTTGAGGGTCCGGCGGGGAGGTGGGTGTTGGGGGCTGATAGCTATCTCTCTGTTGGGGAGGTTGTGGAGGTCTGGAAGAGGGTGACTGGGTATGAGGTCGAGGTGGAGGAGGTGGATGTGCGGGTGATGCATGAGCGATTCAGGATCCCGTGGGAGGTGCTGGAGGCGCCGCAGTTTATTGCTGAGTACGGGTATACCGGCTCACTCGAGGTGATGATGCCCCAGCAGCTGGGGATACAGACGAAGCCGTTTGAGGAGTGGCTGGCGGGCAGGAACTGGGAGGAAATGATCATGAAGGGCGAGGAGGAGCTGAACGGTGTATCTGATATCTGACAAGATAATATGATAAATCACATCTTTTTCTGGGGCTCCGGCTCCAGCTCTAAACCTTGCGCGAGAATCAGCTGCGCAATCGCATCCTCCGTCTGTAGGTACGTCCGACTCCCCTGCACAAACCAGAACCCGACCGCCACCACGAGCATCACCCCAAAGACCGCAATCGCGTAGTTCATGTCTCCCGGGGCCGGGTTGGGCGAGCCGGGGAAGAAGAAGAAGACCGTCGTGATGGCACAGTACACGATGCTGATCCAGTTGACCGTCGTTCCCCAGCGGCCGAGGCGGAAGGGCCCAGGCGGCAGCTGGTCCCGGCCCGCAAAGAGCAGTGCGGCGATCGGCAGGGCGTACGAGATGGTCAAGGCGATGGTGCTGACGCTGAGGATCGCTTCGAGGACGGTGTTGGCAAAGAGGTAGAGCACGCCAACCAGCGCGATCAAAACCCCCTGCGCCCAGAGCGCGCGCACAGGAGCCTTCCAGGCGGGATCGACCACCGTCAGGTACCGACTCCAGGGGAGACCGCCGTCCCGGGCGAAACCCCAGGTCAGCCGGGATGCAGTCGTCAGGATGCTGATGCCTTGTCCGACGCCGTTGAAAATGAACAGAGCGAGCAGAGTGGCGCCGCCTTTGAGGCCGACCGTCTCGAGCATGAGCTCGATGAACGGCAGTCCGCTGGGCGAATCGACGACCTTGTCCACGTCCTGCATGCAGAACAGACAGACGACCATGAAGATGAACCCGGTGATGGCGCCGAACAGCACCGCCAGATACGTCACCCTCGGCGCGTTGGTCCTCGGCGCCGGCATCTCCTCGACCATGTGGATGACCGCGTCGAACGCAGTAAGCCCATACGCCGCCTGCACCAACCCAGTAAACCACACCACCCCGTCGCTCCACCCCGTCTGGTTGAGCCACGCCCCAAAGACAAACCGTCCCGGCTGAAACGACAGATCGGCCTTGGTCCCGACGGAGATCAACAGCGCAAGCGAAAGCACAACAAACAGCGCGCTGAACCACACCCCGACGAACCCATTCAACCACGGCAGGGCCTTCTCCCGTCGACAGCCCACAACATTCACCACCGTCAGCACCAGCACCAGCCCCAGATAGATCACAAACTGCAGCCAGCCGATCCCGGCCCCAGCCCAACTATCGTCAAACATGACCTTCATACCGAGCAGAAACTCCGTCATAAACGCAATCTGCGACGCCGTGAGCGTCCACCACCCGAACGTGTTGATCCACGCACACAGGTACGAGACGAAGCGCCCGGTCGGCGTATGCCACAGCCTGTAGACCCAGTACGCCTGTCCCAGCGCCGTGGGCATGCTACTCGTCAATTCGCCCAGCGACACGGCAACACAGAGATTGCACGCGGTCACCAGGACAAGACCCCAGAGGATAGTGATGGGGCCGCCGTTGGTGAGCCCGCTGCTGAGACCTTGCGCGAAAGTGGAGTACGTTCCTACAACCTTGTCCTTAGCATCATCGCATCCATCGCATCCACTATTCCCGAGGGAAGAAAGGGATATACCTAAGACGCAGAACGCAAGCGCGAGCATGCTCCACAGATCGAATTTGCGGGTCAGGGCCTGGTCGTGGCCCATGGTGGCGAGATCGCGCGCATCCTGCACGCTCTGGTCGACCGAATCGACCGGTTTGATGTTTTCCACGTCCATCAAAGACAGTAGCTAGGGGATGAAGTTGGGAGGTGATGGAGGATGTCCATTCTGGGCTTGCAGTTGCGGCAGGTCATATATGCCAGCGGCACAGACACTTGACACTTCCCCTCACGGAAGCGACAGGGGATATCGAGCACAGAGATAGAAGAGATACGGTCTAGATACTGACTCGGATTATTGGTAATGCGCGATCATCATCTTGGTGATGATATTGATAACTGGCTGATAACCGGCGCAGCGAGTGATTTGTCGGCGGCGCAGAGTCCGCACACTAAATTTTTTTCACTTTGCGGGGTTTGTGTTCTTCTCGGCTGGACCTCCTGACTGGGGTTGGCTCTTCAGCATCCACATCCGAGTTGATAGGAGCTTATTGTCACGGGAAATTCAATTGACCACTGATAATTCCTCTAAGATCGAAGAAAAAGGAGTAACCCTGAAAGGAAAGTCGATGCGAGTCGACCGAGTCAGACAGTCCGCGATCTGCAGTCTCCATCTACCAGAGAGTTACTTTACGTCCTACATCCATGATCCAGAGATGAGCCATTTTTTTCCGCGTCTGATGAGAGTAAATGCGGGGTAAATATTCATTAGGCATATATATTCGTCCAGCCGTCAAAGGACACAAGTAACGATCGAACATCGATTCATCGCTCTTTCAACCATGCTCCTCACAACAGAACAGCACCCAGAGCGACCATTTCAGCCAGAACGGGTATCCCCAAACCCACACCCGCGCTAGATCCCCCGTTATTATTCGGCGACGACGAACTCTGCGAGAACCTCGCTGTTGTCGTCGGAGTCGAAGCAGTCGTTGTCGTCTCGGTCTCGGCCTCGGTTACACTCGTGCTCGTGCTCGTGCTCCCTGCAGAGGAACTCGACGCGGACACGCGCGAATGAGAATGCGAAGTACTCTCACTCTCACTCCTCGATCTCGACGTCGTGGTCGTGGTCGCAGACGCCGTAGCCGAAATCGCCGTAAACATCTGCTCTGTCGTCGTGGTTCCCGTAGCCGTAGCAGAAACCTCAGTCATCGCGCCGAGGGTAAGAGTCGAGTAAGGCGTGTGGACCGTGACTCGTGTTGCTTCGCCTGTGCAGCCCCTGCGAACATCAACACCAACACCCTGATATCCAACAACGAAAAAGGGCCTGGGCCCACCCGAGGAAATTCCCACAACACCCGACAAACACATCCCCCTTGAACTGGCAACGTTCTGCGATCCCGCAGCCCACTTTGTCGCGTCATTAGTCTAGGAACGTAAACTGACGGGGACCGGGGAGCTTACGACCGCCATTATCCAAGGCGCAGCAGTTCATCGCGCATCCATCGCCGCAGCACGACCCCAGGAGACACGAGGTGCCATCTCCACAGCTCACGCGTTTCTCGAGGGACCCGTGTTGGGATCCGTGGCGGGAGTAGAGAATCGGCGGGCTGAGGTTCGTCGCTACCGCCAGCTGGAGGATTGCGGTGACTGTGACGAGTGAGAGGAGCATTTTCGACGCGGTCTTCCTTGTCTGCAATTGAGCAGTTTTAAGAATGAGAGAGTAGAGAATCGCTGTGCCTTTATGTTGATAGGGGTGTGGCTGATGTGCCGTGTTGCGTTGGACGGGACAAACTCGTATTCCTGCTTGGCGGCTTCAAAGTCTAATGCGCATAGGTGTGAGGATTGGGTAGTTCTCTGGAATACGAGGTCGGGCGTCGATCGCCTTGAAAATGATGAGGCTGTACTCACAACACTGACTCGCTTCTGTTGACCCATCGTTCGTTCTACAGGGTTGACTCGGCGAAGCGCTGACAGCACAGTGAAAAAAATCGCAGCAAAGTGGATATAAAGGGCATGGCAATCAATCAGTGAGTCGCACGGATCGCGAGTGGTACGAGCATGGTGCCGCTCGCTTTGGTTGAACGATTGACGTGGTTACTTAATCTCATACGATGCAAGGAAAATATCATTCAATACGCTGTATTCTTCGAAGTATGCCAGTGACTATCTCCGCATAGCAAGAGGCAGAAGCTTGCCAAAGTCAGGAGTACCGAGGCCAGTGACCGGGTCCCAGCCAGCGGTGGCATTCCAGCTGGCATATGGCACCACAGGACTGCCATTGGGAGTGCCCCCGAATCTGTTGCGACCATCGCAGCCCTTGCTGCCCCCGTTGACGATATCGTTGAATCCCGTGCTGGCCTTGCTGTACAGCCAGGGGTTCAAGAAACCCATGACGGGCTTGTGAGCGCGCAGACGGGCATCGTTCAGCAAAGCGATGATGGCGCTAAAGGTAGGAGCCGAGCAAGAGGTTCCGTCGAACTGGTGCAGCACCCCCTTGTCGAACACGGCGTAGTTTTCGGCCTGGGCAGCAACATCGGGGAAGGCACGGCCCTTTGGGTTGTACAGGCCTTGGTACCGAGGGCCAAGCTTCTTCAGATAGCTCTTGACCGCCCAATCCTGCCAGGAAGGACGATCCCACAGGTCGGAGAAACCGCCCGACGAAAAGTACACGGCCTCCTCGGGCTGGGTCTTGGTCGTGCCACCCACCGAGGTCACCCATGGGCAGGCCGCAGGAAACTGGGGAGGGAAGTGGGTGCGGTTGGTGCCGTCGTTGGTCAAGCAAGCCGCGCCAACACCGGAGTCGCCCGACGAGAAGATGACCGAAACACCGCGGCTGCCGAGCTGAGCGTACAGGTTGCAGACCGAGCGAGCATACGATTCGGGAATGGTCTAAAGAGGTCAGTCTATCGATATATCATGGAGAGCTGGCAATTACCTGTTCATCCTCGCCATATGAGGTGGAAATGACCTGCGGAAGCTTGTCCTGGTCCATCTTCAACACATTCTGCAGGAATTCCAGATAAGGCTCGTTGCTGTTGTCGTTGGGGTCGGGCTGGCTCAGGTCCGGAACGAGCTTACCCCGGCCACCGGTGCTGAATTCGGTAACAGGAATGGGAGCGCTGACACCAACAATATACTGCAGGTCGAGATTGGCCTCGCCACTGTCACTGGCGGAGTTCTGGTCGTTCAGACCGCCGTTGTACTCGATGACGCTGAAGTTCTGCCCAATGGCATACGGGGCCAGCTTCTCCTCGAACTTGGCAAGATCGTCGTAGCGGGCGTATTCCTCCAGAAAACTGGCAAACGCGACCTTGCTGCCCCGTTTGGGGTCGGCCTTGTAGTCCCCAATGTTGTAGAGATCCTTGAGGCATTGAGGGGTAATGATCTGATCGCAAGTGGAGGTGTTGCCGGCTTGGATGGCCGCCGACAGGATGTCCGCATCGACCTGCACGGGCCGGCCGCGCATGGTCGCCCGGTTGGCCTTGATCTGTCCGAAACGAGTGGTGGGCTGAACCATGTTGACGTGCGACGCGACCGACTGGGGGAGCGAGTATGCCAGGGTCCTCAGACGCTCAATATGGCCCACCTCGTTCGCGTACCACTTGAAGTCGGCATCGAGCAGATCATTGGCCACGCCCACTGTCGTGCGGAAGTTGATCCAGTCTGCATCCTCCTCAATATCCGTCACTCCAGCGGCCTCCAGCCAGCCACGGACGGACTCGACCGCCTCCTGGGTGGGCAACAGCATCCGCTTCATCTCGTCGTGAGATTGAAAGTGTTTACCGTAGTTTGGATGGTAGGGATCGGACATTTCCAGGAGGGCGGCCTCGAAACCGTCGACGTCATGTTGTTGCAGGGCGATCTGGAGGCGGATGGGATCGCTGTCATTGGGGGTGTGGGAGTATTTCCATCCTTGTTGTTTGTCAGTCTCATCTCCTCTTACTGATGCAAGGAAACGAACCTTGTGGCACCGTGGACAGCTTCTCAAAAACCTCTGCAGCAACGGAAGAGGAGAGGAGAGAAACAACCGCGAGCAGAGCTCCACGGTTCAAGAGCGACGAAAACATGTCGCTGCCTGTCAAGGGACAGATTGAGGAGAGGCGATGGGCAAAGGCGAAGGTGAAGAGTGTCAGGAGGATTGAGGAGGTGGCAGAATATTTATAACAGTGACAGATCACTGATCGGCTGCATGTCTCCGTCACCTACATACCTGTTCCTACAGTGGACAGTGGAAGTGGACGCTGGACAGCTCCATGACGGTTGACCCGAGGCCCTGAACAACAAATCGGAGGACCGACGGGATCCTGCTGGATCCAGGAAGTCGTCGCACTTCGATTGGATCTGCCCTGGCAGGAATTCCGGTGGTCCTGCAGAAGAGTTACATGGCGCGAGGGGCTGGTCTTGGTGTCTTGGAGGCTGGCTTATCAGGGAGGGGATCGTCAGGAGAGCTCCACCTGGAGACAGACCTCATTTCGGCTAGGGCAGATATGCAGTGTAGGCTGTAGATAGCCTGTAGCAGACCATTTAGCATGATATGAGGATCCATGTGCGATTGTCATCTGCTGAATTGATGAATGAAGGAATGGTGTGATGTCGAAGTAGTTTTGCTAGGTCTTTGATTGTTTGTTGATATTGAAACCTTTGAGAATTCGCCAAGACTGATCGCCCAATCGGGATATGAGCCAGGCTGCCAGGCACCAATCCCTTGTTGGCCTGAGCACGCACAGATACAGACTGATCCTGTCTTCTTGACAGTAATCAATTATTGAACGGTCGACGGCTACTATTGATGTGATCAAGGAATACTTTAATCGTTACTCTGTACTCCGTACACCTTACAGCCTGTACCTACCTCGGTCCAAGGGTGAACACTCCGTCCACAGTTGCATTGTCGGCCACGTCCGTACAGCCACTGTATGGAGATGGGGTAGGTAGTATCCATTATTCAACACGAACAACCGTCGCCGATAAGACGGGGGTGATAAGATGATGATTGATGAATATAGACCTATGATTGGTCTGGTCTTGCCATTCGACTGATAGCTCAGCCTAAGCTTGATCACTACAAGCATGAGTGGTCGAGGCTTGCATGGCTTGCTGTAGTTGGCCTCCGCTAGATGAAGGACTATATTAACGAGCTTGGCATCAGACATGGCACAATTTCCGTCCTGGCATCTCCTCCATTGGATTTTGTCAATATGCTCTTTTGGACTGGAATTGCTCATCTCTTGGCAATGGAGCTATATCACATGAAATATGGCGTGTTCGGCTACTCCCAAAGTTGCGTCTATCCCCAGTGGCATAGGTAGCATCCATAGCTCTGAGCAGAATAACAGAGTGCACATGTGATATGCTGGCTTGCATATACTCTGGAAGTCAGTATGAACTCTGGATCAGCCATTAGTTCCCCTTAACACATGTGGTTCCTCTGGTTGCATCCATACCCCAGAGCCTGAACCAAGGCTGTGTTTAACTCAATTATATTTACCTCTGTTACCTCCCTTGATCCAGACACTAATCACAATAATGATCAATCAAGTCACCTAAGCATATAAACATTTCCTCCGGTAAGAGATAAGATCACCGACAGTCAAGCCTCGAATCTTAATATATGTCGCTATGGCTCAGTGCAAATTACATTGGTAGTGCATATCATAATATAGCATCTGCATTAACTATACCACATCTCGTGGAGAATCCTCCGTGCTAAGAACCTGCTTCTGCACAGTATATACATGTTACTGTCATGCTCAGTCTTCGCGTCAATATCGAAAACTGACCATCATGCCAAGTCATCCCATCAATGGTTATTCCAAGGCGAAAGGATGTATCTTGGAAATATCAACCAGACCTTCGCTTGGACCATGACACCATTGATGTCTTCATCTCTTCTCTTGGCTGAGCCCTGAAGAATACCCAGACCCTGTCGCGTGGCTCAGAGTGCTTTCTACCGGTGAAATATCAGCTTGGCGCTTGGCCATAAGAACTCATCAACACTAATACCTCTCTATCCAAGGTATCCTGCCTGCAACAGAAGTCCAAGATCATGAGGCTTGTCGAACGTCAAGGTACTCCCTGTAGCGGTAGGCGAACGGTTTCACCTAGACCCAACCAGCTGGTACCTTACCTCAGGTATCCTCAGCCATCAATCACACAGAAACACACACCTTTATAGTAAACTCTTAACAACATGCATAGCCACACATCTATCATCCTCGTGAGCAATCACCATTATTGCGTGCGCTGCATAAAATCAAATTCCCTTGGCCACCCCCACATCCACCCACTATGACGCACGCCACGCACCTCCAACCACCCAGAGCGCAGTCCAGTTCAAGTCCGCATTTCATCAAGGATCATCCTACCTGAAAGAAAGGTAGATCATGATGTAATTATTCCTCAATCCTGGCTTGCGTATATAACTACCTCACCCATACCCCGGACACATCACCATCGCCATCACCATCATTTCATCTATCCACTCGCACGTATACCGCACAAGAACGAAAACAAAGCAAAGCGAAAAGAAACAGATACAATGGATCTCCTCCAGAAACACGGACACCTCAAACACGACCGCGCGAAATCCCTCGCCCAGAAACAAGAGGCGGAGGAGCGGCGTCATCAGAGTCAACAGGGTATGTCTCTTTCCTTTCCTTTCCTTTCGTTTCGTTTCCTTTCCGGGGTGCATATGAGGAGATGCTGACGGCGAGGTTGATGTGATGTAGAGTTCAACGAGCTGCTCGGGAACTTCGGCCAGTCGCATCACGATCATCCTGATCGGAGGAGTAGTGGCGCGGGGAATATGGCGAGGGATATTGAAGAGTTTAAGAGGTTTGTCTTGTGACTTGGACTTGGATCGGGGACAAGAGGCTAATGTGGTACAGGAGACTGTCGAATGGGGAGAGTTTGGAGCAGAAGGAGTGATTTGTCCTGTTCTTAACTGTTGATTTGTGGAAATGCCTTACGAAATGTTTGTAATATGTCACTGAATGACTAATGGTTAACTGAATGTTCTACTGTACATGTGCATAGTAGATAGAAGTGAAGAACGAATACAATTCCTGCATCAAAGTGATAGTCTAGTAGACTGGAACCTTAAAGGCAGGGAAGGTGTAGGTCCAGCTCTCGATCGATTTCTCGTCGCTGACACAGTTGAAGGTCGAGTTGTCCTTCCACAGAGGACGGGTGGGCCACTGGCAGAGCATCTGGGTCTCGCCGGCGTAGTCGCCAGAGGAGACCGTGGCGTTCAGCCGGGTCGGCTGCACTCCGTTCTCCACCCAGGCGATCATGATGTCCATGTTGTTCTCCGGGTAGGGACCGGGCTGCAGGGAGTTGGTGCCGCAGTGCGCCGCACCGGGAACAAGGTAGAACTGGTACCACTCCTGGAGCTCCTTCAGACTCTTCGAGGCCGACACACCGGGGTACATGATCGAGCGCACGGACTGCCAGTAGTGCACGGAAGAAGCCGCAGGGATACTGGGGTCGGATTCACCGTGGTAGTGCAGCAGCTTGCCGCCCGAGGATTGGAAAGCGGTAAGGTCCGGGACGGTGGTCTGCAGGCTGTCCAGGTAGCGCACCATGGCGGTGTTCATCCATTCGACAAGGGTGTCGTAGGTGACGTTGTCGAGGTTGGACAGGTTGTCGAGATCCAGAAGCTGGACGAACTTGGTCACGAATTCACCGCCGGTGGACGGGATGCTCAGCTCCCAGGAGCTGGTGTCGTTGTTCCACTCGGTGGTCGCGTCGGAAAATTCGGAGGCGATCTGCCAGGAGAGGTAGGCGCGCTCGCCCTGGGTGTTGTGCAGGCCATCGTAAATGGCCTTGGCCACAGCCACACCTTCCTTGGTGACAGTGCCGTTCTGCGCAGGCTGGTAGCTGGTCGTGCTGCCCTCGGCCTGGCGCTTGCTGAAGCCGAAGCCGAGCGAGGTGCTTATCTCCGCCGCGCAGTAGTATGGTTCACCGACGATCTTAGAAAGATCAAAGTGCAGCTTGCAGAGGTCGGTCCGGGAGACCACACCGTCCGTGCGGCCGTCGAGAGGGTCACAGGCCTCGATGGTGGCGTTTACAATTTTGGCCAGTTCGCAGGGGGGAGGGTAGTAGTCTAGGGTCTTCTCGACAGCCGAGGAAAAGACGTGGTTGACCTGCTGCTGGGCGTAGCGGAAGGCTGGGGCGCCCGTGATCACACCGTCGTACTGATCGCCGTAGCGCTGAACCTGGCTCATTCCCTCACGACCACCGTCGGAGCATCCTTCGTAGTAGGTGTAGACCTTGGCATTGCCGGACAGGCCGTAGAAATTTCTGGTCAATGTCTTACCGAGAGTGGTCATCTCACCCAGGGCCTGGTAGGCGAACATGTACGTGGCGTCCCAGTTGATCGATCCGTTGCCGTACAGAACCACCTCGTCGTAGCTGTAGCTGAAGGCATCGTAGCCCGCATCAGTGGCACCCGACGCCGCACCGTACTGCAGACCGCCGGTGGCATCGCTGGAGAGGGAGTAACCACCACCACCGGCAACGTAGAACCGGTTCTTGAAGTCGGAAGGCTGGGGGAAGGCATACTTGACTACCACCTTGTCGCCCTTACCGGGGTGAGTGTAGCTGACCGTCACATTGCAGTAGGGGTAGTTGGCACTGCTGCTGGCGCCACCACCCATACCACCCATGCCGCCGCTGGAGGTGGTGTTGTAGACCGCGCTCGCAGTCACGTCGGAAGGAATCAGGTTGATACCGAGAAGAGTTCCGTTGGAGGGAAGGGCGGACTGCACGTTGGAGACCGTGCAGACGTCGGCGAGAGATGCGGCGTTGGCTGCCGCTGCCAGGGCAGCAACAGCTATGCCGTGGGAGGTACGCATGATGAAGTCAATGAGTGACACGAACGAGTGATGGATTGTAACGAATGGAGAGTTGAGTTTGGTCAAAGATTGGTATGACGATGGGGGTATTTATATGAAGCAGCTCGCCCCAAGCTCATGCAGATCATTTCTATGCATTGAGCAGACTTGGACCCATCTCAGCTGAGCTGCGAACATGGCTGAGAGTGAGACCTCACGAATACGTAAGTCTGTGTTTGGGAAGAGACTACTGGCGACGGACCTGGAACACGTTAGATGATGGAAATAGCCTTTCAGACACATGTTGCCTCCTTCATAATTCTTCAGGATATTGAAGTACGTATACCCATGGAAGCTCAAGCATGCAGATGTGGGACTGATAGCCGTTCCTGCGTCAGGTCCTGGCCGTCCCGCGCCAGACCTACTGGTTTCCCACAACGAAGCGACTTCGGATAAAGTCGTATCCGGTGGGAGGTGAAGAAATTGTGGGGATTTGATCATCTCGAGCGGTGTTCCTCAAGGCTGCCTCCCTCAAAGAGTCGAACTCGCCCCAAATCGGGTGCTGTGGGACAGATCGGCCGCGTCATTGGCTTTCTCGAAGATGACGCGTCAGTTGAAAGAGGCCTCATGGAACTAACGAAATTGAACCTGGCATTGATGCCTCAAATAGAAAAGGTCGAGATATCAGTGGGGCTTGCATCTTATCAATCTATGCTTATTCTTCAGTCTCCTGAGCTCCTTAGATCCTGGAGTGTCGGGTTCTCCTGTTGTCTCCGCTACGGACTCTCACCGTCGTTCTAGCAGATCGGTGTGCTGATTTCGTTGGCTTCTTGATAAGTCATTGAGCCGCGGTCAGAGCGACAGAGACATGTAAAAGCCGATGACGATTTGATAGCTGTTTGAGCTGGCAAGATGGTTGACTGGGAGCACTGAAAATTACCAGTGCTACTGACAAGAGGAACACTCAGAGGCCACGGGATCCCATCAGGAATCTTAGAGACGGTGAGGGATCAAATCTGTAACGACCATCACGATTGCTCCAGGTCTTATTGAAAGCAACTATCGAGACGGTTTTCCAGCTGAGCGTGTCAAGCAAAGATCGTTGTGTCTCTCCTTGTGTGGAGGATCTCACAGTCTGTGCAGCACATTTGTGATTATCTGGCTCAGAACCATCCTTCTCAAGCCTCATTTAACGCTATCAACTACTGCTATCTCCTTTTTACCATGCAGATCGGCCAAAGCACAGACGTCTTTTGCCTCGATCAACTCTGACATTGTCTGCTTGGTCTGGATTCTGATTACTGCCCATGGATTTACTTTGTACATTATGCAGAGGAGACTCATCTTTCAGATACATGTGAGGCACCTCGAAAATGCTGCCTTGCATAGTAACCTCTTCACTAAATGCTCTCTGCTCGACCAGATACTGCTTTTCGACCCCTCGGGATAACGCAAAGAAACCCGACAAACATCGTGTCAACCTCATACCCTTCCAGCCCGTGAGCCCTCAGCGCGTAGCTAGTCATCGCAGAAATGCAACCTCCCCAGGCCAGTATTCCAGAAGACGCAGGCACTGGCCTCTGTAACCACTCGCATTGGCTCCTTGTACTCAACTTTTTCTTCACATGGACTAAAGCACTATTCTCTCTCCAGATCCCGCCCTTGCAAAATCCAGGCCAAAGACACTACACAGACGACATGTTCCTAAAAGCTTCCCTTTCCAATCGCGGAACCCGGCGCCAACGCCGTGTCTGTATACCTGGTTCTCTTCCTGCCGTTGTCATTGCGGTGCATGTGTGATTCCAAGCCGGAGAGCCGAGCGAGTCCGGTAGCCCTTGACCGATGGAAGAGCTTACCGGGTGCATGTCCTTCTCTCATTGTGGCATCGGAGATATTGCAAATCAGGGTTTGAAGGGACTGTGCGTCCTACATGGTTGAGGGTTGTTGCTGTCGGCCTAATGGCACAGTCGTCGACTCCACGAACCCTTGTTTTCATAATTGTCAAGTCACTCATTCAAGAGACGGCGGCAACCTGGCATGACGACTGAGGATGCTTCTCTGCACCTATTCCATTGGTATGAGAACTGAAAAAAGGTGGATAAGCGACTAGTCCCACGCCGATCTTCAATTTGGGAGTGGTACTCCGTACGCGATATATCGGCTCTCCTGCCTCGATTCCCTGCAGCATTCTCGGCGAAGATAAAGATAAAGTACAAGCGATGCATATCATCAGTCGCATTCGCATCCACATCCACCTCCACGTTCATCAAAAAACAAACACAAACACAGACACGAACAGCAGGGATCAAGCGGAAGATCCCGACTCTACCCGCCACAACTATTATCCATCCACACACTCTGTAGATTTCTTCTGGCAATAGTCCTAACCCTGTAGGCTGTAGTAGACATGGATGAGACGAGCACATGCCCAATGGAGCAAGTATCCATTGCCCTTAAAGGGTAAATCGACAAGGTAAGTACTTGCCAAGTATCCTTGGTGGACTTGGCCAGGGGAGCAAAGTACTTCGTGCTCAGTAGTCAGGACAGGCTGGGATAGGGTCTAGGTCTAGGTCTGGTCTAGATCCGCCACGGAGTGCGGAGTCCGATCTGCATGGAGGTGATTGCGTTACGTTATTGATCACTTGCATGGGGTACTTTCATCTGTCTCAGGCTCTCATATATTAGCTTGAGGATACGGGGGTTAGGAGCGGAGATGAGGTACCTAGCGACTGCGTTGTTTTTCCTGCATTTTTTGCTACGAATGTTGTGGGAATGGTAATTTGCTCATGCTCATGTTTTGGACGAAGGCTGGGACTCCACTTCACTTAGGGTACTTACCAGGATTGATTGTGGTCTAGCATTTTATGAATAGGACAATTGCATAAGTGAACTTAACTTTTGGGTATATTAACTAGTCAGAGTAATCCCAGCGCCGACCGATAGGAGAGGAACCCAATGAAAAACAAGATCATGATAGTCATACATCGTCATAAGAAGAGACTTGCAATGTGATTCGCTACGCGCGAAGCTTCTCACTTTCCTTGTTCTGTCGCCACAGCCCGCCCGGGAGCAGATTCTGTTTCAGAAGCGCCAGCTCTTTCTGCAGCGTGGCGTTCTCGTCCTGCAGCTCCTGCATGTACGCGATCGCATTGGTCAGGATCTCCGACTTCTTCAACGAGGCGGACGCCGACCCGCCCTTGGTGGGTTTTTGGACCCCGCTGCCGGACATGGCCTTTTCCAGCGCGACGAACTTGGCGTTCATGTTGGTGCGGTACCGCTTCTCGATGATGTTGTGGGCAGCTCGCTTGGCGGCGTTGCGGCCTGTTGCTGTTTGCGAGTCGGCGGAGAGACTGCGCGAGATCTTGCGGGACGTTGAGGCTGCGGGGGGAAAGGCGGGGGTGGGAGCGGGCGAGGTGGTGGTCTGTGAGGTGACGGGGTATTCTTGCGGCGTGATCTCAGGACTGGAGGACCAGCGGGGAGCTTGTTCGCGTTTCTGTGTGGCTGTTCTGCGGCGGCTTGTTGGCTTTTCGGTTGTGCGTGGCGAGACGGCGGGGGCGTCTGCTGCGGCCGAGTCGAGTGATGAGACACGGCAGGCGGGAGACCATGGTTGATCGTCACTTTCCAGATCCTGGATTGTCCTTGTTAGTACGATTGTAGAGATGACAGTAATATGAGAACATACCGAGGAGAGAGAGTCCTCGCCAGAGTGGGAGATTGCAAATCCGCTGATATTGGCCGGGGGAGCGAACAGATCCACAGGGAAATCCTTAGGATCGAGCAGCATATCATTGGGGATGTCGAGAGGGAAGGTCTCGGGAAGCATGGTGTTGAGCGAAAACAGATCGATAGCGCTGTCGTAACTCCAATTGGCCGATAATGGATCGGGGCCTTTGGCTTGTTGGTTGACGAAGCGGTCATCGTTGTCGAAGGTGAATGCCGTTGAGGCATCAGGTCTGTTGTAGGCCATGGTGGAGTGATGGATTATTGAGTACGGAGTTGAAAGGGACAATTGAGATTGTAGCTGTAGCTGGGGCAGTGATATAAATCGAGCGTCTCTGATTGACAGATATAGAACCGTGGATCTGAAGATGATCTAGGTCAGAAGGCCGCGCCGAGATATATATAAAGCCTGTGCACAAAACATACATGTAGGCCGAGAAGTCGACCGAGGTGATGTCAGGCATCTAGAACAATGCAAATAAACAGCTAGGATAGGTAAACATTGGCTTGTCTAGCAATCAACCTGTCACCGGTGACGCGCAACCGAGATCACCCCAGCCGGATGCAGGGTATTCCAGCATCGGTCGGCTCCGACGAGAGCCGTTGAAACCAGGAGCATCTTCTTGCATGAAGACAAAAACACACCGACGTCAGAGGTGACAGGTCCAGATGTCAGAGATCGGAAGTACCATGGTGGCTGAACGATGATAACCGCATAGTGGATGTAGGAAATTCAACGGATGAAAATGAGTGGACGAGCAGCTGCACTACAACCGTTAGACAAAAGGGAGAAAACGGAAGACCGTCGACTAACCAGGAATGGGTGAATAGGGGCCGATGCCAAGACGCTTCGGCCGAAACTCGTCAGAACCAGGCTGTTCGGCCCCGAGTCCACGGCCGGTATGTATGCTGATTACGTGTATTATTGCTTCTGGCATGCAAGCAGCAATACAATACAGTTCTCAGAATACGGCATCCATGCTGAAACAGCGCCTCGATATTAGGTATTATTACTCTGAGCATTCAGCCAATTGCCTTGATTCTGGGCGGAATTGAATTTATCCTCCTAGCCTTACTCTTGTAGCTCCATCAATCCGACGGGATACAGTACGGATGTGTTGGTCTGGACAGCTGGAGTCGCTGGAGTCTGGACAGAAGCTGTTGTAGATCTCGATGAGTGGTCATGGTTTATCTCGCCATCAATCTCAGTATCGGTAGAATCAATCAATGCTGTAAAATCTCATCCAGACGTATAGGATTCTATCTAATATAGCAAGTGTAGTACAATACAGCAAAAACACATACTCGCAAGAACCATTCAAATCCCCCTAGTCTACGACTGTTCAATCATTGTGCGTTCTGCACATAGTTCTGCCACTTTGTAGTCTGTACCTATGAGGCTATGCCTAGCTGTAGATAGTGGCTCGCGTACCCCAGATAGCGAACCGACGCCGTTGACGATGGATCCGTCAGAAAACAACCAATAACCACCTACGCAATTCCCATTACGAGCTCAATTGCCCTCATCCTCAGAGTTTTCTCGGGTGCATCCGCCAGCAGTACCCTAGTCCTACTGTCCTGGAGACAGTCAGTGCCAACCAGATATCCACGACCCAGTCACCGAGCCGGCACGGATGCCGGGTCTCAAGGGTCTCTCTGCATGCCACTCAGTGGTGTGATCCCGGATCTCTGATTGCGAGGACCCATCTGGTGCCTGGCACGTCAGCGGCGTGAGGTTACCCTTCATTGGTTTTCGTGTTGCTGCGCCGTGGCTGTTAAGGTTGTGGCCATGGTTTTGACCGGGGGGCGTGGATTTCGGATTCCGTGGGCGTGTGATACAACTGCATCATTGGGGTTTTCTTTCGGATCTGTATGCTTGCTGGAAGGTAAGGTGATTTTTCTGCGCTGATTCCGAGTATCTCGTCCGAGAAATTTGTGAGGAGCGTGTGACCTTGCCTCACGTTGAGAACATGGCTGGGATAGCGGACCGGGTAAGATATGTATCCTAGATGTGGCCATCTGCCATGACGGCTAGGGTATCGGATGGCCTGGTAGTCGAGCTGACTCACATGCATTGCTCAGCCCTATCGGTTACTTGGCTTCTTCAGACTTCAGCATCACTTTGCTTGGGGGATCGCACTATGGTCTACCGTAGTAACGCATAATGGCCAAAAGGGGTAATCCTCTTAGGCTAGGTCAGATACTATGACTCTAGAATTAAGTCTTGAGTGATGCCAGGTAGCTTTGATCTTCTACATGCTCATCTACTTCCCAAAGCTGTCAACCACTGATGCACTGACATTGGTACCTGACTCCTGGGTACAGCGGGGCATAGTACTATTTACTTCCCCAGATCCTGAGGAATAGACAGTAGACTATTTGCCTGACGTGCTATGACAGTAAGAAGTGGAGTCCTGTCAAACTGCTACTGGTTGACCAGCGGATGAGAATATTGCCGCAGGCCAGCCGAGCCCAATTGCTGATATATATTTGAACCTCCCAACGAGCATACTGATCCTTTAGTATATCTGGGCCGCTACTCGGCTGCCGTGGCGATGATTCCCGGCGCCTTACATCTTGCAGCACTATGAACGAGGATGAAGTGATATAGCAACCCAACTAGTCTGAGGTTGCTATGAATTGCTAGTCTGAGTCTATGCAGAAAGGGGTTTCCTTTCTCTATACCTCATGGAACCGCTGCAAGCATCAGAGCTGGAATCTGGTGTATATTGGCTAGGGGAGACCTGCCTGAAAACCATATCGCACGGAATCATCCCATGCTTGGCAGCGTCTACTGTCTACCCCCGACCAACCCCCGAATCGTAGTCTCAAAATCCTCCGGCTCCCTCCCCAGAATCTCCGCCAGAACAGGCGACACAACCGCCGTCTCCCCTGCCCGGATCGCCTCCCACGCAGTCGCCCACTCCCTCGCCAGATTCACCCCGTGGTACGTATGCTTATCCCCAACCTGCGGCAGCGCCGCATACTCCTCCGGCGCGATCTCCCGGATCCGCACGGGCTTCCCCACCACCCGCCCCAGGATCTCCACCGTCTCCCTCAGACTCACCTCCCTAGCACCAGAAAGCAGCACCACCCGGTTAAGATACGGGAAGCCCGCCGGGTTCTTCGCATACGCATAGATCATCTTCGCGGTGGCCTCGCCCAGCTCGTCGCGCTTCGCCCATGCCACCCCCGGCCCCGTACCGTTGTGCGGGATCGTGATCTCCTCGACTGGATTGTGCAGGTCGAACCACGCCGTGTAGATCGGGAAGGACTCGGAGTATAGGCCCTCCCGGATGGCGGTGTAGGTGAAGCGGCCGGGGAGTTCGGCCAGGTACTTTTCCGTCGCGAGGTGGGCGCCCATGACGTGCGCGAGGCTGGACTCGGCCAGGTCGCCGGCGAAGGCGAGGGAGGCGTAGAAGATGTGTTTGACGCCGCTGCGGCGGGCGGCGTCGATGGCTGCTTTGTGGGCCTGGTTGCGTTAGCTTTGAGCAGAGGAGGCGGGGGTGGAGGGCTGAGGAGTACCTCTACTCGGTATTGGATCTCGAAGGAGGCGTAGGAGATTAGCATGAGCACGCCGACGTTGTCGAAGACGCGGTCGAGGGTTGCGGGGTCATCGTAGTCTGCTCGGCGGATTGTTGCGCCCTCGCGTGAGAGCGCGGCTAGCTTTTCGGGATTGCGGTTGATGAGGATGAGTTGTGAGGCGGGGACGAGCTTGACGAGGTGGTTGATGATGCTTGTTCCTAGGCCTCCGGAGGCTGGAAAGACGCCGATTTTCTGGCTCATCTTGTCGTGGTTGTGTAGATTGCTATGATGTAATGGTGATTGTGGAGAATGGTCGGATGAGGGGAGACTACTTATATATCAGTTGCAGTATGCGGCTGAGGATATGGCCTAAAGATAATTATTAATACATTGATGCAAATGCTGATGTCTTGATGCTGTCAGTTAATAAATGATGCGGATTACAAATCGTGGTGCTCCACTGTTGATCACCATGAGGTGTTCTATTCCAAGGGAACGCAAATGATAGTATAATACAATGCTGGCTACATCTTGTTATAAGCCAGAATGAATTGCTCCCCATCATACTCCGTCACGGTATAATACTCCTTGCGCACCTTGTTATAGCTCAAATCCTCATTCCCCGCCATGAACCATCCACTACGCAGTTCCGCCATTCCTCCAGGCTTCCACTTGAACATATCCCCGGCTTTGGGTGACCTTCCATTGCTGCGTGAGAGGTAGAACGTGTTGCCGTATGAGAAGCCGCCCTGCATGCGCAGAAAATCGGCGCAGTACGCCCATGTGGCTGTGACGATGCTCTTGTCGTTGGTCTTGAGCTTGCCAGTGTTGCTGTCGAGTGGGTACTTCACAAGACGGATCGGGTCTTTGGATGAGTCGCGGATGAACTCCCCGACCAACAGCGTATCGTCGCTGCGATCGAGAGAGACCCAAGAGAAGCGGAAGGGAGACGAGGACCCCGGTGTCCATTTGTAGGATCTGTCGACGTCAATAACAATTATCTAACCATCGCAGAAATGAACTTACCGAATCTGAGGAAGAACATAGAGGTATCCCGCTGCAGAGTACTTCCCACCATTCTTTCCAACATCATCACCATCCTCAACCTCCCAAATCTTACCCAAATCTAACACCCGGATGCCATGCGACGTATCCACAACATACAACCACTCCCCGTACCACGCAATCCCACCCGCATGCACTGGCACGGCAGCAAAGTTATCCTCCGCAGTGGGCTCCACCAGGAGCACATGGCGGTACTTGTGCGTCTTGCGGTCGACAAAGCTCACGCGCACGCTTTTATCGTCGTCGCGGTGCCAGCTGACCAGCCACATCTCGCGGCTGTCCCATTTGCCCGAGGCTGAGGCATCAGCGGAACCGGTGATCCTCTGCGGCACCCATTTGGTAGTCGCCATGTCGCCAGAGTTCCATTTCCAGGCTTCGACCGGGCTCGTCCCGACAGGAGGCTTCCCCTTGACGAGGTCACGGTTGGCGGAGTCAAGGACGTGAGAGATGCTGACATTTTGCCGGCGGAAGAGAACATATGAGAGAGGGAGGCTAGATGCGGGTTGTCATTGGTTTGTTGGAGGGTAAAGGCTGAAGCCGTGAGAGGGCCATTCCCTTTGGGGCAGAGACGGGGGTCTGCTGCAGTGGTAGAGAGAAGGAGAGAGAGGAGACTAGTAAGGGCGAAGATGGACTTCATTGTGCGTTGTTAGATTATTGAGCTTGACTATTGCAGTTTCCATTACCCTTATATAGTCCTAACATGGATGCTTGTTGAAATGATTTCTTTCTTGGCAGAGCTATGTTTAGCTGGATACGAGCTCGTCATGTTGCGGATATGCGAACACGAGGATCAACACAATAGGGCTCAATTTCAGTTTCATTACTCGTGTTCATGCAACCTGCTCTGTAGCTTTGAATATCATTATCAATGCCCTAGAATTATCAACACGAGTTATTTCTGTAGAGTCGGAACGAGAGACATATTTAGCACTGACAAAATTAAGGTTGGACCACAATCCCAGTTTACAACATGAGGACTAGCATGGATTCTGTCGGAAGGGATGTGAACCTAGAAAAGAGAGCAGAGAGCTGCATGATGAAGTTCTCATTACATACAATCATTAACAATATCACCATGTGGTGGATGTTGGCCAAGTCGAGTCCGAATCGACATGTGTTAGTCCAGATAAATCTCCCCAGGTCACATGAGTCTTGCCCAATCAATTAAGTTCCCCGCGTCCCCTTCGTTTTCTTCCGTTCTCTCATCAAGCCTCAATTCCGTCTTTCGACCCCATCTTTGTATCTCCTAACAACCTCACAGCCAGAGTCCATCAGCGTTTGCTTTCTCTTGGTCTGATCCTAGAAAGCCGTTCCTTGGATCCAGCATGCCTTGTGGATCTACTGCCTCCCCACCTTGCGGGAGCTCCCGACGCTTGCCACCGCCACAGGACGGTTGTTGTGCCGATGGGGGCTGGTGCGATAGTACGACTAGTCCATTATGAATTAAGCATGGGTGGTCCTGCTAAATCTCGATGTAGATGTTTGCATTGAAGTGGCTGCCTCTTACGAATGTGGCCATGCTTCCCACCTCACCGAGGCCGATCGAGGATGTGACAAAGCATGCTGTTCCAAGACTGAGCAGACGTGCGATGGTCGCGAGGATTGCTGCAGCACCACCCGGGTGAAAGCCCCCGAGAATGCCTGTACCGACCAGCCCTACCGCCCAAGCAACTGTGGAACCAGCACGCCTTACGCAGGGAGGTTTGACGGCGATGATACTTGTGGCGGCCAGGGCTGTCGGGACGCTGACAACGATCACGCCTCAGTTGGGGCGGAGAAAGACAATTCAATTTCTAACTGCCAGAGTCAGTGCTGTAGCCCTGTAAAAGGTGACAGGCATGGACAAGGCGAATATGCGACAGCAAGCCGCGATGACAATGCAGATGTCAAAGTTGACCTTGGCTGCCAGATCACTTGCTATGACAAACCATCTGATAAGGAAAAATGCAAAGAAAATGACGGTCTCGATAGATGCAGAATTGACAACGATGGGGAGAAGTGTTGCGCATCTAAGGTTGAGCAAGCCGACGGAGTTCGCAACGATAATTGTTGTTCCCCTGGCCGTAGCTGTAGCCTTTCGAAAGTGAGCATTGATCATCTGCTGAAATTCAAGCTACTAATTCATATAGGCAACGCGCCAGATCCCGGCAGAAAAGCAAGCATGCGCAGGAAAGACACCGTTTCGTCAAGCCTGCGCCTCTCATCTGAGACTTGCCTTCGAAAAGTATTCCTCGTATCTCGAGACTGGGCGTTGTATCTGCCGAAACGTATTATCCCAGGCCAATGTCTGCTGCGACAAGGAAGTTCGATCCGCTGCCATCAGCGCTGGCACGAGTTCGTCAGTGGAATTGGGCCCAAGTAGATCCACTGCGGCTGTTTTGACCAGACGTCGTGATGCCCTACTTGATAAGCAGTCCACCGAACTAAGCGCTAGCAAGATACACTCCCGCTGTTCGATCGATGAAATCTCAGATAGGATATTGCCTAAAAGTGCTGAAGTCTTGACCAAGCAGCCCGACCCGGAGATGGCTGCTGCTCGCGAAACAGTCCGATTCAGTATTACAGGCATGACCTGTACTGGATGTTCCAACAAGGCTTTGAAGACTCTTAAGAATTTGGACGGCGTTTCCCGAGCTGAAGTTGTTTTCATTTCTTCCGTCGGAGAAGTAGATATCGACCCCCATGTCACGTCGGCTGAGACCGTACTTCGGCAACTTGAGCGCGAAACTGGATTCAGGTGCACCCGCATTGTACAAAACGAGCAAGTTCTCGATGTCATTATGCCTGCTCATTGCGCAAAGCAGTTGCAGGACAGACTGCCCACGGGATTCAGCTCAATCACCAAAGCCGGTCAAATCTATCGTGTCACCTTTGATCCTGTGGTTACTGGGGCTCGGTCGGTGCTCTCGACCATCCCAGATGGCAGATTGGCTCCGCCACAGGATGCCTCACTTTCAAAAGGGAAGAAAGAGCTTCAAAGATTGGCCTGGAGCACTGGACTGGCAACGGTGTTTACTGTTCCCATTCTTGTCCTTGCATGGTCTGACATGTCCACATCCTATTCTATACGCTCAATCACCTCGTTGGTCCTTGCCACCGTTGTCCAAGCAATTGCAATTCCGGAATTCTACGTTGGTGCATTAAGGTCGTTTTTATTCAGTGCAGTGGTCGAGATGGACATGCTGGTTGTCATCAGCATTACTGCTGCTTACGGCTATTCAGTTGTCGCTTTCGCCTTGACCCATGCCGGTCACCAACTGGAGCAAGGTGAATTCTTCGAGACCAGCTCTCTGCTCATCACCCTTGTACTTCTAGGGCGGTTGATCGCAGGTACCGCAAGAGCTAAAGCTGTTTCCGCGGTCTCTCTCACGTCCCTCCAGGCGGAGACTGCCTTTCTTGTACATGCGTCTGGTGAATGTCAAGAAATCGACGCACGACTACTTCAGTTAAGTGATACAATCTTGATCCGACCACATTCGCAGATTGTGACGGATGGTGTGATCGTCAAAGGCACCAGTTCAGTCGATGAATCCATGCTCACAGGGGAAAATCTGCCTGTCGCCAAAGGCCCTGAGGACCCGGTCATTGCTGGTACCATGAACGGTCCTGGCCCTCTTACCGTTCGCCTTACACGCCTGCCGGGACAGAACAGCATCAGTGATATCGCCAGACTGGTAGAAGATGCCATAGCAACAAAGCCTCGGGTGCAAGATCTGGCCGACAAAATTGCTGGTTGGTTCATTCCCGTCGTTGTTTCTATTGCGATCATTGTTTTCGTCATTTGGATTGTGATTGCCCTCGAGGTCCGAGGGAAAAATGCCAGTGGCGCCGTTGGCCAAGCGATCACTTATAGTATCGCAGTACTGGCAATCTCCTGTCCATGTGCTCTTGGCCTGGCTGTTCCGATGGTCTTGGTGATTACAGGCGGGGTTGCCGCTCGAGCTGGTGTTGTTGTCAAACAAGCCGACGCAACGGAACGAGCCTTCAAAGTGACTGACGTCGTTTTCGACAAGACTGGGACACTTACCACCGGTGTGTTAGAGGTCGTTAGTGCGCAGACTTTGACTGAAACCTTTGGCTCGGGAGAAATCAGTTCTCTTGTGTGTGCCTTGCTCAAAGACAACAATCATCCTGTGGCGTTAGCCGTTCGGTCTTTCCTACAGCAGGCACCGGTCTCACCGCTGGAATTAGAAAGTATTGAGACAATTCCAGGAGCTGGCACTCAAGCATTGTGGAAAGGGATGGCCATCAGAGGGGGCAATCCCTATTGGCTAGGCATTGAAGATGAGCCCTCAGTGACTGCACTTGCTGCTCAGGGCATGACTCTTCTTTGTATCACTGCTGGTCCGGATATATTAGCCGTTTACGGCTTGAAGAGCGTTATTCGACAAGAAGCGACTGATGTTGTGGCCAAATTGCATCGCAACGGCATTACTTGCCATACCGTTAGTGGGGATGGATATCAGGCTGTCAAGGATACTGCTTGTGCAGTTGGAATTCCTCCTGACAACATTACTGGCCGTCGGTCGCCCGCGGAAAAACAACAGTATGTCAAACAGTTGATGGACCAGGGCAAAACTGTCCTCTTCTGTGGTGATGGAACAAACGACGCGGTTGCCATTGCGCAAGCCAGCGTAGGTGTTCAGATCGGTTCCGCTTCGGACGTCACTCGCGCTGCGGCGGATGTTGTCTTGCTTGGTGGTCTCGAGGGCATACTTGTTCTGCTGGATGTGTCTCGCCGCGCATTCAATCGGATCGTTTTCAACTTTGTGTGGTCGGCCGTCTATAATCTCTTCGCCATACTGCTCGCGGCGGGAGCTTTTGTCACATTCAGGATTCCTCCAGCATATGCAGGAATTGGCGAGATTGTTAGCGTCTTGCCTGTCATCATCGTTGCTTTGTCATTGGCATTTATCAAGCAGTTCTGATATTGCAGCAAGCTTTTCATGGAGCTTCAATGGAGGAATACCATTACACTGAGGGTGTCTGCATGATTGATTACCGGGAAATTACTGCCCCACGCTCTTTTCATTATTCTCTGCTTACTGAACGGATTGCCATAAAGCATCGATTCATGCTGGCGCAGGTGTTCTGATCTCAGGCATGAGAAATCCCAATTATCTGTTTATGCTGTCCTACATTCCAGATTAGATATAACTTTAGGTAGCAAAGTGCAACTATCCATTAACATTTCTGGTGCCACAGTCCTACGCAATGTTCATTCACTTTCCATGTATGGCTTCCCACTTTCGGCTGACAGCATATTTATGCAAACAGGACTATTCCCTGAATCATCAACCTTTATGAATACCAAACCGATTCTCAGCATGAATCTATTCATTCTTTCAAAATTACCACTCTTTGACAGCTCTATTCACCGCTCTTAGACTCATTTCCTGATTCTCTGACATAAAAGCGGCTTCTTCCCAGGGGATGAACCCATCTTCTATTCACTATCTCAGACATTCATGCAACCCATTCCTCCCCCATATCCTTGCCCTCCCTCCTCTACATTATGAAACCCTGCAACCAGGGCATTATCTAATCTCGCCGTTCAAGAATGATCAGTAAACGGAGCTTCCTCTTCCGCTCAAAGAAAGCTGAGAGTGCGCTACGCGGAGGCAGACGACGAGGACGCTGACGCCGATCCGGCCATCCTACGGCCTGATGATCAAAGCTTGCTCATGTTCTGGATCCTCGAATGCTATAATGCCTGACCAGTCAAGGCCCTGGGCGCAGGCAGGATCCATACGACTGCATGTTCTTGGGTCCCAGAGAACATTGCAAGTGAGCTGGACATGTGAGTCCGTTTGACATTCTATGATATGATGGCACTAAGAATGAACATAGAAATGAGAAGTTCAAGATGACTTCACACATGCAGAGACTGAACCTGCCAAACGAACCTACCAACAGTTTCATACCGAAGAAGTCGAGAAAAATTGGGATCCGATGGACGTACGCCCTTAGTTCATCGATTGCGTTATCGAGCATAACACATCCACGCTGTGTTGGCAGTATCAGGGCCCGTTGCTCGAAATCGGGTACTGGATCGGCGCGGAAATTGGGACAATTGGAGCCAACGCGGCAAAGTACCAGCATCAACTAATGTTTGTGCGGACTAGTCAAGCAGCGCAAGGCAAGACCATCTCCAAACGGATATACAGTGGAATTCCCTGACGTTTGTTGTTCTGGTCCAGAGTCAATTTCAACTCTTTCACCGGAACTCTTTGGATTCGAATCATGCCAACGCAGCTTTATGACGTTCACCAGAGATGGTTTGGACATGGTCGTGGCACCTGGATCTTTGATGGATTGATAAACCAGTCTGAGAATAATATCGACAGAAGCACGAAAAGGATCTTGGAAGTAAGATGGCGGCGGCCTTGTTGCTCAAGTGCCGTCGCCTGCTCCTCGCCCCGCTGCGCCTGCGATGTTCTGCTATCGGTGCCTTCAAGCACCAACGTTTCGCGCAACGGGGGTGCTTCCTCCCTGCTCGGGATACCCTCCGACAGGGGGGAAGTGTTCCCGTTGCGCCAGGATGCATCAGTCCTGTCTTTCGGTACGTTGGTTTTCCGTGTTTCTTGCTGGACGCATCTGTTGACTTTGCTCTTTGGCAGTTCCCGGCACGTCGTGTCGTGCTTTTGTCCCGTGCCGCCGACCGCGCCCCCGCCACCAGCAAGGCTGCGTCCTTGCCGGCCGTCGTCGCCGCGGCCCGGGCCTTCAAAGCTTGAGCCCATGGAAGTAAGTTCTTAATGCTATCTCCCTCGCTATATACCACTGCGGCTAACATGATCTTCATCTGTGTGGAAGTTATCAGAATGACCATGGCACTATTGCTGCGAATTTATCACCTCACTGAGAGGTCGTCCTCGAGTCAGAGAATCGACCGCCAGTACCCTCTGTACGGGGCTCCTTGCTTGGGTCCTGCTGTTACAGCAAATGAAAATGTCCCATGTCCACCAAGAAGTGGTATGGGGTCGCCGAGGCTTTACTGAACGGCGATACATGCTGCGTTTGTGGCTGTTGCTCTGCTGGATCAGCCTGGTAAAAATGCTACTGCTTTAAAAACACCTTAGGATACAAAGCAGTATGAATGGCAGGGTCGAGGTTCAACGTATAAACTCAGAATCGCCTTTCCCGGGCTTCGCATCCGGTATATAGGTATACACAGCACTTCAGAAACTCAAAAGACTACGGATGTGGCTCATGCCGCACCGTTCCTTTCGTGATGTCAAGGATATCGAGCAACTGTATCCTCGGAAGCCAAATCTTTTCAGACCTCGTACTCCCATCACGTCATGATGCATGAGAAGAAACTGCGAGACCTGCATCAAGGGTACTCTCACCCTGTGCCGATAGAATACGATGGCTAGAGACGGTTAAACCAGACCACCCAGATGCCAGTCAGTATACAGATGCCATTGAAGTCGCCAGGTCATTTGTTAAAAGCGGCATTGATTGGGATTTCCACCCAGCGTTCAGAAGTGCACTTGCCCTACCCAAGTACGGTAACATCAATAAGAATTGTGACAACCTCATGTTGAAGGTGTACAAGAAGGAGACCTTGCAACGCCTTTGCAAGTTGAAGAAAATCTTTGAGGTGCCGACTTACGATGATGCTCATGAGAATTTCATGGTGTGGTCACTCAATGACCTTTATGTGGCGACCAACCCAGTCTTCAAAAGTGACACAGCCTGAATGCCATTATGTCTTAGTGGACATTCAGGCAGCATGACCATGTACCCGGAGAGCTTATTGATGACATGTTTCAGATCCCGGATGCCGTCACATCAGAACCATCCCAACACTGCATTGCCAACATGTACCCCTTTAGCCGCCCCAGACCCTCCCAGAGACCGTGCTGCGTCTGAAAATCAAATGCCAAAAGAACACTGATAAGATGCTCGCTCAAGTCAAGAAGAAACTGGATGAAACCTGCAACATTAATGGCGATAAACTTTGGTTTAATAGCCACAGTCGGGACCTTAGTCGCTGAACTACTTACCATTAAAAGCAACCTTAGGTGGCCATACCAGCGATCTGAGGAAGGACTTTTACCAGTGCCCCTGAAGCAGAGACGGGACCGAGGACTCCTCAGAAGCAGACAGCCAACCGACCACTACTCGCCACACCAAGTTCTGGAACAAAAGCGACCTTCAATGCATGAATGTCTGACGCGGAAAAAGCAGCGCTAACAACACAGGGAAACGCACTTTGGGTGGCACTGGAGCAGAGTGTCTCAAATCGCCATACGGCTATAAAGGAGCTAGTGGAGTTCTTAGACAAAGTCGCAGGCAAAGGATGTTCCAGAATCATCACATCCCAGTCATTGTTCATTGCAATGATCTACGACTCTACAACCAGCCGATATAAGGACCTAAAGCGCTTGGCTAAATGCAGATTCACGTTTAGGGGAAATGAGCTAGCCTTGCAGATTGCCAAGTTCGGCGATCCCGGCAATAATGGCCCATACACCTACATCGTTGACGCAGGACCCGACATACAGGCGGCGCTAAACACCAAGTTTAAAGCCGGCAATGGAGGAAGCATACCAGCCTACGAGATTCGAGAAAAAATACGCGCCAAGAAAGGACGAAGCACCGAGGAGAGATCCAATCCGGAACAGATCCGCTCAGTGTATCATTTATTTGGAACGATTCAAGGCACCACATTGGCAGCGCATTGTCCAATTAGTGGTGAAATCAACTTGGCCATGCCTCAGTGGGATCATGGAAAAGTTCAATGACTCTGATGAGCTCGTATAGCATTCTTATATCTATTCTAACTATGGTGAGATTACTAACTATGCTCTAGGAGAAAATTTGGATGCCATATTCCCCTTGGGGTGGAGTGACTGCAACAGCGAATTTCTCCCAAAACCGCGTGCTCCAGAAAGTCCCGTCCATCAACACGAGTATGAACCATTCAACGATGGCCCTTGAGGCAACCATCTATGGTGCCCTTTGGCACTACCGTGAGCTCAAAAGGCTCATGTTGAACACACTTGAGTGGGGCTGGAAGGCCAACACTGTCAAAAAAAAAATCGAGGTGCACCTAAAGTCATAGGCAGCATAGTGAGTCAAGGGCCCACAACTAATCTAACTATGGGGAGATACTTATCTATAGTAGGAGGAATACGGGGTTTTTATCGTTCCAAGAACGTTCTGCGATAGCTACCGAAAAGGCTTTCCTCCTGGTCTGCAAATTCAATGACAACATATCCCGCCGCATTGACATCGAAGTCGAACTAAATGAATCGGGTACCATCAGTGGCATGTCAAACCGGCGCCCTCCACGAAGGTCGATGACTACGACTGGCTGGGAGTGGTCAAGGGGATGAAGGAACTCCTTCAAAACCTCAACGCGGACTCGACCGTCAAAAGTGCGGAAGCACGGGGCCCGTTGTGGTCAATATGCCTGGAGTCGAAAGGGGCAGCCTCCGCTGCGGCGGGAAAGACCCTTTCCCTGAACGCCAAGGGGAAAAATTACAAGGTGAGGATAGAGCCTTACCACCAGGGGGGCCCGACGAAGTTCGTCTGCAGCTCGATCGGCCGGTGGACGACAAGGCTCTGCTTCACTGAATAGCGAAGGAGATACCCAAGACCAGATTCTATATGCATAGGATGGTCCATGGGGAGACGCGGGGCCCTAAGCGGAGGGTGGTGTTCGAACGCCCCCCGGGGTGTATCAAGTTCGAGCTCCCCTTCGGCAAGGAGTTCTCAGATTATGTTGTTCGGTTCTGGCCGGAGCCGGTTGACGGGCCGTGCCACTTCTGCAAGGGCATGGATTGAGAACGCGAGATTAGACTGGCTATCATCCGGCAGGATGGGTGGCACTCGAGAAGAGCACCGCGAACCGACACGCTGCGATGAACGCTCTATTAGACTACCTCAACGGAGTGGCAGGAAAAGGCTGCGTTAGGATTGTAACGCCAGCGTCATCTTTCATAGCAATTATCTACGACACTACCACCAACCGCGATAAGGACCTTAAGAGAATCAAGAAGTGCATGTTCAAATACAAAGGCAATACGCTCCCGATCCAGGTCACCAAATTTGGCGACCCTGGAAATTCTGGTCCGTTATGTCTATGTAATCGATGCCGGCCCGACAGCAAAGAACGCAGAGGTCCAGGCAGCAATAACCGCCAAGTTTAAAGCTGCAAACGAGTCTGCAATTCCAGCCTATGAGATTAGGGAAAAACTGAACCTTGATATGTCCAAGTCCTTACGGTCTTGATATGGGACTAGTAAGTTCACGACCACGTTTGAACCGCCGAGTTTTTAAAATTGTGGATGGTGTTCTTATTCTATCGGTATTCCCAGTTATCAAATTTGTTCAGGGCCCATACAGTCGTTCCCGGAAGCAGGCAGACGGCATGATCAAACCTGTCGGCTACTTTGACAGGAAGCATGAGTCAATCGAGCTCAAGACCCATGCTGAGCTTTCTTTACTGCCAACCATGCCCCCAGGATTCCTACTAAACCTTCACGTGGTGCCCCTGTAGGGTTGAATAATAGCCTTGCGACTAAGGGAAACCTGAAACAAGTAAAAACTCGTATTGCGTTCTTGGAAGTGCGAGTACTCAGTGCCAAGGGAGAAAAAGAGCTCATTACCTGGCTTCCAATTCAGGTCCACTGTTTGGACAATATTCACACACGCATTTACAGGGGCGAATTGGAGGATAAGTGCTTTACCTGCATTCATCCTCATTGGAAGCGCCTATTTGTTGCCCATATGAAGGAGCAGCTCCTCCATCATAATATGCCTAAGACTTGATCCCTCCCTGTTCATTAGCTATGGTCTAGCGGCATAACAAGGACAAATAAGTGGTGCTCCATTTCCATTATCAAAACATATATCATTCATTCCGTTTCTTTTCTGCAATGTATGCATGGCTAAGTATGAGTAGAACCCAGCAATATTTAAAAACTAGAAGGGGGAAGACACCCTGTTTAACCTCAGGAGAATCACTAGGTTCTATAGATGCACAATCAAAAGGCACAGCCAATCCTCCGACTCACATATGCATGGGGAGTATTCGCATCGCTTTACCATTCTCAAATATGAGAACAATGAAGACTGGTTTGTCAGGAGACACAGACACCAGCGACAGTGTAAAGCTACCCATATGCGACACAGCTTCCTCAATTCGTGCAGCAGCTGTATGATGTGTTGCTCTCAGTGTTCTTTGTTTGTTTTCAGCTTTATCTCTCTTCCAACTTTTCCTTTTTGCAACATCTCCTCCTCTGTACCCTCACCTCTGCTTTACCATAGCTTCTCATCCAGTCTCGTTTCATTCTGAACACTTCAATATCATCAAGCTGTTCTTTTTCGATATGTCAGCTCTTACCCCCGTCAACCCGCTGATACGCTGCTGGCAACCAAGTTTTGGTGTATGCCGTGCCTGCGAACCGCGGCGAAGAATGGGGATTGTAGCGATCCACGTCCTTTCTTTATCAATTGCCGCATCGAAGAAAGTACTTCCACCCTGTGCAGGCACTTTTCCACCACATCGGTACCGCCACGGAGCTAGCCACTGCACAGGAATGGCCTGACGGAGCAACACAACTTAACATGATGCCATCCCATATGCGCACACCCGAAGAAGACGTTGATAAATTCCCTTGGGGAAAACCGGCCCAGAAACTCTACGATGCTCTCCAAAAAACGGACCAGTTCGACAACGACACCCTATACACCATCCAGAATCGGACTTTGCTGAAAGAACTTGAAGATTGGTATTTCCGCCAGGAAAAACAAGACCGTGAGAACCTTGCGGACAGGGACGGTAGGACCTAAAGGAATAGAAGGTCTCCCGTGCTCTGAAGCAATCGATCAAGAACAGCATCAACAGCCTTACTGACTAACGACGTCGCTCCGCATGTCCAACACTCAGATTGACAATTTGCTTACTGGCGTTTCGCTTTACCGTTTGATCCCGTCTTCCTAAGGGGGGGGGGATAATGTCGTGTCTCCTATCTCCATACTGTATCATGGTGGTGTTCCCTACAGCGCTTACCTTCCTAGTTCTTACCTAAGCATGTTCATATCTACGGATACAGTAGCAGAGATAGCAATCCAGACTTTACAACATCACCATATGGTACCTACCATCGTATAGGCCTTCGCCACACGTTGTGTGAACCCGTACGTTTCGATAGCCTCCCTATTGTGTTAACATGATAATAGCGGTGCTGGCTAGGTCGCGCCCCAACTAGCTGGAAATGCCCTTGACCTTTCAGCGGTGTTCCAGCGGTACGCTTCTTTCACCTCATGGGTTTCCATATTGTATATGGGGCCCAACTCATCAGGCTGCTGATGCAAATTGTGAAGCTCTTCTGAAGCTAATGGGTTCGGTCTCCCTGACTCAGCAAAGGTCAAGAGGGTTTCCATATTATATACAGGGGCCTAACTCATCAGGCTGCTGATGCAAATTGTGAAGCTCTTCTGAAGCTAATTGGTTCGGTCTCCCTGACTCAGCAAAGGTCAAGAGCGTGAAGAAGGTGATTATCAACTGGTCGCGAGATAGGAATGTCCTCCCCGCCGTGACGGCACCAACCCACCACCAGGTCGGGGTGCTACGATTGCCAGCTCGCCGTGCTCTGGTTTATTATGAGGTTGATGCGCACCAAGCCATCACTGTTCCCTCGCACCTAATTAGATGATGAACCTCGTCTACTAGACCCCTACTAGACGATCATTGCCCTGGCGAAGTATTCCATCAGACGGAATAAATGTGCCAGGGGCATCGGGATCTGTTCTTTGTATTGGTCATCTAGTAGATTCTGAAGCCCGCGCAGTCGTATTCCAGAACTTCAAAGGTCCTTTAGACTACGGCATATAGGGATCGACAAAGATCTACGAGTCAGAAATCCAGTTCGTACGGAGAGTACAACGGCCCCAGATTTTCTCTATTAGAGCCTACGTGGCTCCTTATCGCTAGGCCACAGTTTTCCGAAAGCCGTGGTGTGACGTGCGAAAAGTGCCAGCGCAAGGAGATTTGCTTGAGATAGCCAAGTTGAGAGTAAAACCATGGCGTGTCGTGAGAAATATGCTGCCGGAAGGAGGTTTGCTTGAGATAGTACAGCGGACTATTTATACAAAAGGAACATATTAAAATTCTAGAACAAGAACCACTGGAGTAATAAAGCTTCATTTTTAACTATAGAGGTAGATAACTGCGGTTCAATAATCTGTCCTATACTCTTCTTTAGGCTTGTTATGCCTGGTATAAAGCTTAAAGGGTTGTTCTAACTGACCCCATCCCAACTATTTCTAGCACATCGTCCCGACAACCTTAGAGCCATGGAGGAACTGGATCACACGATGACCCTCATGGTAGCGCTGCAGATACTGACGGATGGATTGTGCTTCCACCATTACCCATAATCTAGTCCACTACATCACCCATCTAACTCTCTCATACCATAGTGTCAGCAATAACAGCGCAACGGGGTCTTTCCGCCGCAGCAGGTCCCGGAATGAGTTTTCCATCTGACTTGTGAACGCCAAAATGTTGGCACGGGAGAACCCTGCCATGCGGGATTCTGCAGCCGCAGGAGCGTCTGTAACGCGGTGAAGTACGGATTGCTCTCCGGGGAAGAAGCTGGAGTGATGTTGCAAAGAGTTAGCAAGTCCCCCAGAGCAGAAGCGGCTATGAGATGCGGGCCCTCGGCTAGCATCTCTGCGTACTCGTCATTCATGGGCTGGAGCAAACTCCTGGGCCTCAGCGGCTGGATAAGATTCTACACTGCTTTCTTGCCCTTGGCTATGTGTAGCCACTCGGGGTCTGTATGGTTGGAGGGCCAGGTCTCCTTGTGAGCGGATGAGTGGACCGAAGCAAAAGTCAACATGCCGAGAAATGTCGCTGTAAGCCACAGAGCGTCCCGGTCGTCAGTGTCTAATAAATCTTGTGATAACCGTTGGTTGAAGAGCGCCAGGCTCTGGGTGAAGTGGTAGGTCTCGAACATGCTGGGACTGTCCGGTGTGAAGGAGCGCAGGTGGCGCTCGTGCGTGGCTGAGAGGGCCAATACACTGTGCATTAAATAAGGCCTCTACGTTTCATTCCATGGTCATGGCCCATCGCCGTCGTAGTTGGCTCAGGATAGATAGACGGTTTAACTGATTCAACGGTGCTGCTAGGAGGACTAAACTTACCGAATGCGCCAAGGCAATGACCCCCTCCGGTCGAACTTTCAGTATAGTCTCGACCGTACGGGTTTGGAATCGGACAAGCTGGTGGATGACTTGATTGTCCAGGCCCCAGTGAGACAATAGCCTTACTACTAGCTGGAGCCACCCGGTTCTCGTGGGACATTTGGAGATCGGGAGCGTTTGACTGGTAGTTGCACAACACTCCATATAGAGAGCATGTTTTGCACGGCGGCCTCATCTCGTCGCACTGCGTAGTAGTTTTGTTTAGAAGCCATACATGACTGGATGAGGATACGGGGGATGGGAATGATCGGCCTGGGGCTTACTTTCACCCTCCACAGCTTGCAGTTGCGGCAGCCATGGCGCGACCTGGAGTGGGCTTTGCGCCTTCGAGGGACAAACTCGTCGTTCGCAGGAGCCATGGATCACAGGAGAAGATTCGAATTGAGGCAATCAACTGACCGGTCATGCGAGGCTGGAGGGGGATCAAGTAGGAATATCATCAGTCCCTGGCGCTAACCACCTCTCATATAACTTTTCTGTTGAATTTCTAAGCGTCGCAGCCTTGTGTATCTCTTGTTCTGAAGCACACAAATGAAGATGCGCCACGTCAGTTATACGAGAACTAAAGAACCTTGTTTATGCTCAGACATCCTAAGGTAGCGGAGACTAGGCTTTGATGCTTCTCTACCCCATACTTTCTAATATCAATCATGTCAGCACTGACGAGATGGTATACAGGAGTACATCTCATTTATTTTGGTTCCCACCAACATGACCATGCCATGGATTCTTCTGCCTCTATTTGCCCTTTTACCCCTTTCACTGAGCCGTCGAGAAGAAGGCGGCACCCAGTTCATCACCTACAACGGCACTATTGCTGGCCATTTTACGCACCCAGCATCTGCACCTCCAGGTTGTCCCACCTACTACTTTGACTCCCTCAGAAGCTCATTCATCGGCATTGACGTGAATCCGCCGTGGGATACCAACCCCTTGTACTTTGACCTTGAACATCGCGGTCAAGAGGTGGATTCCTGCATTCTTGTGGGTTGTACAGCCGACCCAATCTATAACCTGGTCTTCGCCACCGTGCATTACCTTTGTTTCGCGGATACCGGACATCCATGCGGTAACATTGAGTATGACTATCATTTTGCTCCACAAGAGGACCTTGATTTGACCAAATCGACGATGGTCGAGTATGACTGGGGAGACGCAGGGAAAGGATACAGCATTGCTGGAGACCAGTCAACATTTCGCGGCAATGGAACTCCCTTGAATTCCTTTGACTTCCAACGACCCGATAACTATTCCTGGCAGCAGGGCTGTGCGGACGAGTTGAAGTTCCAGTGGTACATACTTTCCTTCTGCTCTGCTCCGAGGCGAGTTCACTACTCATCACAATTAGGAATTCCACAACGCCATTCACATACGCAGTCAATTTCACCAACACGACCGCCGAGGTACTGTTCTCCCTGACCGCTCCACTTGGTTCAGTGACATTCTCCTTCTCCGGTACCCGCGTTGATAGAAACAGCGCCGGCTCGCCAATCGTGGAGCCATACAACAACGGCAACTATACCCCCATCGCGCTGAATACCTCAAATCCAATGGAGCCGACTTTCAACTTTATAAACGGCTCGCAGTTCATATGGAAGAACTACTCCCATGGAGAATGGTCTGCTGTCGCAACGTCTGCAACAGGACTCTCCATTGATAAGAACCTTGCCCTGTGGTTGAAGTGGCTGTGGCTTTTGTTCATGGTGGGGACTGGGGGCCTTCTTTCACTATGAGGGAATGTAAATTCAATTATCTGGAAGATGAACTAAATAGCTATTTACGAGGCAACTTCTTATTATATCTAATAGACCAACAGCCAATATAGCGTGGTAGAGCTCACTGGCAAAAATAGGTGTAATTAGGGCTGGTGTCTGATAAAAATTTCTAGGTAAACGACAAAATGATAATATTTACTGCTTTTTTTTTTTTCATAACTGCAGATAAATAATATGTAATAAAAGTAGATACCCCTTTAGCTAACGAATCGGAGTATCTCCTAACCTCTTAGCAGTGGGCTGCTGCAGCCGCAGCACATATCGCAATTGTTATTAAGGATTTCTCAGCACTAAATGGTAATCTCTAGGTAGTGGCATAGATAGAGGCGAACTATTGGTCAACTCAGCATTTTGGACTATTCCCCCATTCGTATTCATCACTCAGGAATTACCCTGATCAGGAATTGATGATGAAGAATGGCAGCAGCAGCAGCAGCAGGAGGAGAAACCGTCGGATAGCCATCCAACAAACATATATAAACCTCTCCTTTTCAGCTTCAATCCAGCATACCAGGCAACTTAGAACAAGTCAGGTATCTCTGATAGGAATCAGCATTATCTACAGCAGCATCAGCAACCCTGCCTCAACATGCCCCTCAACAACGATTTCCCCGTCCCCAAGTCCTTCACCAAGTCATGGCACTCCAAGCCCTACCCCTTCATCTCTCCCACCCGGCCAGAGCTATCGATGTCCGAAAAGAACGTCATCATCACCGGAGGCGGCACCGGCATCGGCCTGGCAATCGCAACCGCCTTCGCCAAAGCCGGCGCGAAATCCATCGCAATCTTAGGCCGTCGCCGTGAACCCCTCGAAAAAGCAGTGACCCTCATCTCCAGCCTCGCCACCGCTACCAAAGTGCTCTATGAGACAGCTGATCTATCAGACCGGACCCATGTCGACGCCGCAATGACAACCATCGCACACCAGGTCGGCAAGATCGACATCCTCGTCTCCAACGCTGGGATGCTCCCACTCCCTGGTCTGCTGAGGGGCTATGACGCAGAGACCTTCATGCAGAGCTTCCAGGGAAACGTGCTCACCACGTTCAACGCAGTGCAGGCCTTTCTCCCCCTGGCGGGGCCGGAGCCGATCCTGCTGAGCACGTAGAACTCCATGCTCGTGCCTGGCCTTGCCCCATACGCGGTGAGCAAGGCGGCTTGTCTCAAGATGCTGGAGTATCTGGCGGCAGAGAACCCGCAGTTGCATGTTGTCAGCGTGCAGCCTGGCTGGGTGCCGACGGATATCAATGGATATCAAGCGGAGGCCCCTGACAGCGGTATGTTCTTTTCATCTCTCTCCCCTGTCTCTTCCTCTGCTAATGAAGCTAGTGGACCTTCCTGGCGAATTCTATGTGTAGCTTGCCAGCCCAGAGGCCAGATTTCTGAAGAATAAATTCGTCTGGGCCAATTGGGATGCGCAGGAATTGCTAGAGAGAGCTGAAGAGATTGAGAACAGTAGGCTCCTCCAGTGGGTTGTTGAGGGTCTCTAGAGCAGAGCGCTCGTCTGGTAGATGTACCTACAGCAGGATCGATGTATCGTGCAATCAATTTCAGAGTCTCCTTTATGGTGAAAGCCAGAGCACAAGGTCAGGTAGTCCGGAAACTGATGTTTCTTGCTTATAACAGCCATACGCCTAACTGGGTGTGTAAAGAGCGCAATCATCCAGTTCTATAACTCCTAGAGAGTATAGTAAGTCACCATCTTTACCAACAACTAGGCCACTTATTACGCCTACCGGGACATTCAGACGGCCACTAGTCCATTATATACAGTGTTCTTATCCCCCGCGCAGTTTGTGGATCATGGAATTTTGATGCACTGACCGTGCACTGTTGCCAATTTAACTCTGGTGAGCTTGTCCAATATGGATCCTTTTATATACAGATACAGTAAGATTATGGTTATGTATCTCTGACCGTGCGGTTAATCCGAGAGCTTTGTCGTCTCAGCTGAGTATCCGAGACCATTGAATCGACCTGGACTCGTCCAGTCTACCACATTCTATCCATATTAACCTGATTCAGCATTCCAAACAACCCGTAATCAACCGGTAGAGAGTCCAAAGCAGGAGGTAAACCAAGAGTCGACGGCAGACCTTCTGTATGCTGATGTCTTAGTCCAAGATCATCGAGAAAATCCGCGTGTCCCGTGTTCTCCTCGTTCACAAAATCGAACCCCATAGGCTGAGATAAGCGATCATCTGCAGTCTGAGACTGCGGCTGGCCCTCTGTATCACTCCCTGAGAACTTCAGGTTATACCTCGCACTCAGCAACCGCCGCAGGTTATTCCCAATATGCCTTGCGGGCTGCCACGATCCCGCCAGCTCCTCAAGAACACCCACACATACCTCCAACCGGCTCTTCTGCGACGGAAGCATGTTCTCCTTCCCACCGATGTCCTCGAGTAACACTGTCGCCGCGGAGAGCATGCAATGCGTCGCGGTGATGGGGCTGAGATGGAAACTGCCAAAGTGCTGGCGGTATTTCTGGGCGATGGTGCAGATTGCGCGGGCGGAGTCGGCGGAGACGGACTGTGCTTGTGTTTGTGTTTGTGCTCCGTTGGCGTCTGTATCGCTGCTGGAGGCAGATTGATGGGTGAGTTTTATTGTGAAAGGTTTGGTCAGGAGGATTCTAGCGGTGTGGTAGACCATGTGCAAGGTATATGCGTGCGGAAGATGATTTGGCAGGTCGAGCCGGAGCGCTGGAGGGAGATCGTAGAGCCACGTTTTTAGGTCCAAAAGACAGGATTTGAGAAAGGCGGGTCGTTGGTGTTGGTTGAGGGTGGGTTTTGGGGCCCATCTTGCCGTTTGTCAGTTTCGTTGATGTGTTGTGTGTGGAGGAGGGACGTACAAGGACATGAAGATCTTCTCGTAGATTTGGCAGATGCGGATTAAGGCTGTCTGTAGAGAGAGGATGGCTTGCTTTCGGGGAGATGAGGTCTCGTCTGCATGACTGGGTAGGTTGACGGCGCCTTGGACGTCCTGTGTCTATTAGCGAGATTCAGACACGGACGACGGGAACGAACCAGCATGGAGCAGACGCGCCCTGTATAGCTCGCGGAGAGCTTGTCATGACAGTATAGAGTCCAGTAGATCTGTCGCCGGAGCTGCATTTCTTTAGGAGACAGGCTCGCGGCTCCCTCGAATGCAGCTGGGTCCAGGTTGAGTCCCATGTCCAGACTTAGCCTGTTCGCCATGCCGTGGTGCAGCCACCCGGCTGCATCAGCGCCTGTGGCCTGGACAGTCAGTCATCGTCCAGTAAGGCGTAGCATAACTCACAATGTAAAACATCCCAATGAGGCCTAATGCCTGGATGGTCGTCAGACTTGGTCGTTCCATTTCCCGGTGAAGTAGAGTCTTGGCTTGTTCGAAGAAGAAGCGACCGGCTGTGTTGGGATCGTTTGCGTCTGTACGGGTTTCGACGCGGTCAGAGTACCGTGACCCTATAGCGAGAATGCTGTACAGAAGCAGGGGGGTGAAATAGCGACCTCTGTTTGCCATGCTGTCGCGGAAGAGATCCTCGTCCACGATCTGGTACCATGGTTGCTCCCAGGTGAAGTACAGGTCGATCAAGTGTGTTTCAAGCTCTGTGGGAATGAAATCGTCGTATGCTGCTGATCCAAAGGTCAAGCTATTCACTGGATGTTCAACGTGTGCCTTTGATTCTTTCTCTGGCGTGGCACCCTGAGCAGCGAACTGGAGACGTCCACTCGTCGGCCCAAAGAATCGCATCTCACCGTCGGCGTCGAAATTAAGAGACTCGTCGAGCGCAAGATATCCCTTGAATTGATCGCATAGAGCATCCATATATTGTGAATCTTCATCTACAGCGTCGATATTCTCTCTTTTCTTCTCAAGTGCCTTCTCCGTGTCTGGGTCAATCCCGCGTTTGGCCAGAAATTCCTCGAGGAATTGTATGCGTTGACGTAGCAAGTCAACGTAGGACTTGGATGCAGGGCGTCTGCCATCTTCATTTGAGGAGTATTGGCAAGAGATACTCCATTGCAGACAGCGGGAGCAGGATGGTTTTTTCCCGTCGCACTATGCACGTCAGATGAAGGGATTAAACTCATCGGTCACTGAGTGACACTGACCTTTGCTCGCCGACGACGACACTCCTCGCATGCTTTGGTGGTATATTTCCCTCGGGATTGTTTCTTTCCAGCCAGTGGCATTTTATCGACTGTTCAAACAATATTCAATTCAGATACACTGTGTCCTGTTGATATCGATCGCAATCTCGCGATGACCAACATTAAATCTCGCATTATTAATCAACTCTCCGTCTCCATCACCGTTTATCTTCCACAACAACACACGGTCACACCCGACTAAACATCATTCTTCTCATCTTCGTTTGAATTTCTACTTGGTATCACTATCCGGCACATGCGCCACAACCTCAATCTCAACCCGCATATCATCCTCCCCCAACCTCGTAACGCCAACACACATCCAGATCGGCTCATGATCAGGAACCCACTTCTTGAAATTCCGCACCATCGCCTCCAACGCCTCGTCGTTGATCGGCACATGGTACGAGTTCACCCGGTACACCTGGCTCCAGCCCTTCCCGCCTGCGTTCCGTAAATTCATATCGACGTTGGCGAAGGCTTGGTCGATTTGCGCGTTGATTTCGCGGTGGATGATCCCCGTGGTGGGGTCCCATCCTCCTGTATAATATCATATCGATCAGTGATGAGGGCGATAGGGGATGGATATGGGAGGGGATACCCTGTCCGGCGCATTCGATGCGGTCGCCGACGCGGACGGCCTGGCTGTATTTGAACTGGGCTTGTTTGCTTTTTCCGACGCCGTCGTAGTTGTAGTAGGTTAGGTGGGACATTTTGGTTGTATGTTGTAGTTTGGACTGGTTGTGAGTACTGCGTAGGGTGAGATTGGCTCTTATATCGTTGTCATTGATGTTTTGTAGCGGAATACATATTCCGCTGTATACTCTGCTGCTGATGATGTCATATATATTCTAGGTATTGACGGGGATGAAGTGGTCTAAGTCGTGACTCGTGATTAGGAGATGATCTATGCTATATACAATGCAATGCGATCGAAGTGAATACGAAAATGAATTCAATGAGGAACACCACCAGTTCCAAACAATTCCAGCTTCACCCGGTCCTCGCTCACGCCCTTGGACTTGAGAACATTCAGCATATCAGTCATGAACGTGTTTGGTCCGCAGATGTAGTATTCCGTCGCGGCATCATCCAGGAACAAATCATGGTTGCTGTCCAGCTTGCTCAAATCCACACGACCCTTGTGCTGGTAGTCCTCGCCCTCCTTGTCCTCGTCCGTGGGGTGGCTGGTGAAAAAGGTTGATTTGAGGTTGGGCAGCTTCTTCTCCAGGGAATTGATGTGGCTCTTGAACGCACGCGCCTGGGCGTTTCTGGCGCCGTGGATGAAGCTGATCTTGCGCTCTGGGGACTCAGAGGTCAGAGTGTTGAGAATCGAAGTCATGGGGGTAAGACCGACACCCGCCGAGAGGAGGACAACGGGGTTGGTGGCCTTGGCGTCCGAGAGGAAGAAGTCGCCGAACGGGTGGGAGACCTTGATGGTGTCGCCCTCCTTGATGAAGTCGTGCAGAATGTTCGATATGTAGCCTGGATGCGCCTTTGCGCCGGGCTCGGCGGGGTTCAGTCCAGCCTCCTTCTTCACGCTGATGCGGTAGTAGTCTGACCGGGGCATGTCGCTGAGAGAGTACTGGCGCGCCTGGAGGCAGTTGAGCTCGGGGACGTGGATCTGCACGGAGATGTACTGTCCAGGACGGAAGGTGGGCAGAGGCTTGCCGTCCACCGGCTTCAGGTAGAACGAGGTGATTTCCGAGGATTCAGGAACCTTCTGCGCGACAGTGAAGTCGCGGAAGTCAGTCCAGCCTTCGGATTGCTCATAGAGCTGGGCCTCGCGGCCGATCATGATGTCGGCCAGTTGCCAGTAGGCGGTGGCCCAGGCGTCGAGAATCTCCGGGGTGAGGGCGTCACCCAGGACCTGTCCCATTGCTTCGAGCAGGAACTTGCCAACGATCTTGTAGTCATCAGGCTTGATGTACAAGGAGGCGTGTTTATGGCAGATGAGCTCAACGGCGGGTCCAAGAGCGCCCAGGTTGTCGATGTTGGAGGCGTAGGCGACGAGAGCGCCGGCAAGAGCACGGGGCTGGTGGCCGCTGACCTGGTGGGCGGTGTTGAAGACATTATGCAGCTCGGGATGGGCAGTCAGCATGTTCTTGTAGAACACCGTGGTGATGGTAGTTCCATACTCTGCCAGCACAGGCACAGTGGCCTTGATGATTTGAACTTGCTCTGGTGTTAGAGGCATGTTGATGCAATTGATGTGTTGTGATAGTAGTTTGAAGACTGATTACTGTGAGAGAAGATATCAAGCCCACGGTCAACGCCCAAGACCACAGTATTTATACATAGCGCCACTTGATGGTCCGTATAGTCGTGCCATATCGAAAATTTTCTCCTTAAATTTTTTTATCCGCAGCCGAAGTGATGGCGGTTTGTGGTACCTTTGGTAGAAGACATCTCCGCGGAGGCTCTTTGTGTGAGGTCAGAAGAAGCATGCAAGAGACACAAGGACTCGAGTTCACGCTCAACGGAGGAATCAACGTGCGGGAATAGTTAGGCAAACTCCACCAGATAGTCAATACTCTTGCTGTGAGTTAGTTTCACAATTAGCAGTTAAAAAAAGCCCTCGATCATCTTTATTAACATAACCAAGGGGATGCTATTCCAAGAGGGCGAGTTAGATATTAATCGAGAGAGGGGGTCCTGCAAGTCAATTTTGGACTGCACAGGTATTCTCCAGACTCCAGATTGTCTACTACAATGCGACTCCGTACTATTGATCTCGTCCATCATCCCATACTCCCAAGTTTTCGCCTATTCTGACTCTTTTCAATCACTCTTACTTAACAATTAGTAGTTAATGAATGGCAAACGTCAGGCCACTTGCGAGCAGATCCCGGCGCGAGGATTTTTCGGACCGGCGACTCCGGCATTTCTCGGCCCCGAGACCACGTATATTTGGTATAAGATGCATAATTACTCAGCACTTCTTATGCTGCTTATGATGGTGTGTGTGGCTGACTGTGTGATTTCACTAACCGACAATCTCGTAGGCGAGAGACCATCGTTCAGAAAATAAGAATAATATTACAATCATGATCGCTGGATCTTGGATGAAATCAAATTTATAAAGCTGATCATCGAGAGTCGATGACAAATGACTGACAGATGCAAACTCTCAACTGCTGAGTGGTGTTCAACTTTGATTGAGCGGAACCGAGTGTCTGGACCCTAATCGACCATTGGAACTTGTAGTGACTTCTTTTGAACCTGGATTGACCACAGCAATTAGTAGTATCTCGGATGGTACCCCAGATGGCCGGAAATGGTGGTTCTTCGCCTTGATCCAAGGATTGGAGAGCAATTAAGATCAAGAACATCACGACAAGTTCAACGGACACGCCGGTTGTAGATTGTCATGGTTTTCCACAGGTCGTGACGTCTACTACAACAAAGCTAGAATATATCCTGCCTAGCATATAAGAGAATGCGAGAGATACATTAGCTCTTGATTGCTCAGTCATTTTGTCCCATTACCCTAGAAATCCGTACTGTATCTTTCATCACATCAAAGTCAAGATACAATGGTGCTGTTCGGTAGACGTAATGGAGACGAGCGGCGTGTCGTCAGAACCAGCCAGAGTCAGCTTCCCATGCTGGGTCTGGCGGACAGTGCTCGAAATAATGTCATTGCTGTGACAGGAGAGTTTGTCGGCACGTTCCTCTTCTTGTTCTTCTCTTTTGCGGGAACTCAGGTCGCCAACACTCCCAAGCCGGTTGACGGTGCCCCTCCCAACACCTCTAACCTTCTATATTCCTCCCTATGTTTCGGGTTCTCCTTGACAGTCAACATCTGGGCTTTTTATCGGGTGACGGGAGGTCTATTCAACCCTGTGGTAAGTCTGAACAACCGTACAACAGTGCAGCTCAGCTACTAACAGGACAGGTCTCGTTGGCACTATGCCTGGTCGGAGGCATGCCGCCCATTCGAGGCGTCTTCGTCTTCGGTGCACAGATTGTAGCCGGCATTGCTGCGGCAGGCGTTGTCAGCGCTCTGTTCCCGGGTGCCCTCAACGTCGGAACTCGACTGGGTGGAGGTGCATCCATCTCTCAGGGCCTGTTCATCGAGATGTTTCTCACCGCCCAACTGGTGTTCGTCATCATCATGCTGGCCGTCGTGAAGCACAAGTCCACTTTCCTTGCGCCGGTCGGAATCGGTCTCACTTTCTTCGTCACGGAAATGGTTGGTACGTGGATTTCCCAAGACCCATCTGCGATGCTGAGGCTGATGACAATAGGTGACTACTATACCGGAGGCTCGCTGAATCCCGCTCGCTCACTCGGCCCAGACGTGATCAACCGAAGCTTCCCTGGCTATCACTGGATCTACTGGGTCGGACCATTCCTCGGTTCTCTTCTGGCCTGTGGATTCTACACCTTCCTCAGGATGTTCAGATACGAGTCCGTCAACCCGGGGCAGGACTTCAACGAGTGGGAGGCTAAGCTTGGACATGGATCGCTCGACGAAAATGGCAGAAGCTCAAGAGCCTTTTCGGATTCGACCGTTGGCGGACGAACCCATTCGCCCCATGGTGGAAATCAACATAGTGGACCAGCCAACGCAGCGGAACAGGTTTAATCGGTGGGTTGTAGGTCGACGAATGAATCACACAGTGATGCAAGGTAGTTCACCTTGAACACATGAGAGGCATACCCAACAGCAAGAGAAACAGGCAAGGTGTGATATTTGTATTTGGGTGTGGAGCAGAATGTTTTGGCCAGTCTAAACCCACCAAAGCGGTCAGAAGTGGCAGTAATAGTATGCTAGACGAAGGCTCAGTCCCAGTCAGTAGAGGTGGTGGTACGTTCGACTATTCATATTTGTAAGTAAAGCATTGGTATCCAGCGATGTATCTCTTGCTATTATCAATTAATCAATCTGTACAATTTGTATTGTACACTTCGTGTCGGTCTTGACTTGAGGGACACGACCAAGCCGGCCGACACTCGTCCGCACACGCCCACAATCCACAATCCACACTCACTGGGCCACAATCCACAATCGATGAGCAAGCTCAGATCGCGGGCTCCACTGACCCACGAACGTTGGAGAAAAACACGAGCATCATTATTCATCTGCTCCGTACATTTTACAGGCTTACAGCCATCCTGCTCCGTCCCTTATTTTCTGGGAAGACTTGGTCATTTCAGATATGAAACTGGGGGTGCATCCTGGTAATCCGCAAGCAAATACGGATACATTGCACCATTGACTTGTACTCAGGGGCTACGGAGTACACTAGAGGGATTCACTCAGGCCTAGCGAAGAGTAGGCGATCAATCAATCAATAAAATCAGGTGAATTGACCATGTCTTCTCCACAGCGTCACCACTATGAAGTGCATTACGGACACAGAACGTGCTAACCAGAATCCTCGCCTTAGCCCAAAGACCACACCCTCCAATTTTCCGACGACGCCGGCCAGGCCAAGACCATGCCCATGGAATTGGCGCATCGGTTCAACCCTGATCCTACCCAACCGTGCGACGAACTCGAGATTTTCCAGGTCCGTGGAACCACGATACACTTAACGGTGTGGCGAATGATTCAGAGTAACATCGAAGGTTCACTCAGCTTATCATTCTGGGGAATTCGGTGGATGACCGATCAGGGGCCACGAAAACGCAAAGTCTGAAAGTTGCCATAATACATGGTTTCACGGCTAGCCGGTCGATTCGTCGGCCCAGAAGATGTGGAGTCACTAATCAAGACCCCATATCGTTGTCTGAATGGTCCGCGACGATCATCTCCCGCTTTCTGAACGCCAATCCATTCCTAGATACCCCCTGTTTTCCACCGTCCAACTTCCACGTCCAATGTCCTCTACGGACGAGCATTTTGACTTTGCAAGTGCTCACACCTGTCGGTCTAGTGCGCGGATAACTGTTCCCTGGTCCGAGCCGGTGCAGATAACTCATCGTCCCCGCTGGGTCGACCTCTTCCAGACTTCAGCGAGAATTGGCTTCAATCTTCGTTCTCAACATCAGCTTGATATCCATCGTTTCTGCAGTCATTTGAGACTGCTTCGACGTGAAGATGCCCGCGAAGATGCGCTCGCAAACGACCGTTGATGCCACAGGCGCTGAACATGGCGCCCATCGAAATGTGGTGGATGACACGCAGCTCCTGGGTAAGTGGCAGTCTTTGGCTTCAGACGCGCAGCATACTAAGTATAACAGCCGAATTGGGGTACAAACAGGAGTTGCGACGACAGTATTCGACTCTAGAAATTTTTGCGGTTGCGTTCAGTATCATGGGCTTAGTTCCCTCGATCGCATCCACGATCGCGTTTTCACTTCCAGCTGGGCCTGTTGGGATGGTTTGGGTTCGTTAACTCCGCTGGATTTTTGGATACGCGACTAATGAAGTTGATAGGGATGGTTTACCGCGAGTATACTCATCTTCTTTGTCGGTCTTGCGATGGTATGCCCCTGATGTCCTCGATTGCGCACAATATTAATGACAGCAGGCGGATATGGCGTCCGCGATGCCTACGGCCGGAGGTTTATACTGGTGGACACATTACTTTGCGGGCGACAAGTACAAGAACGCGTTGAGCTTCTTGGTCGGATACAGCAACACCCTTGGATTGATTGGAGGGATGTGCTCGGTCGACTGTATGTCCACCGCTCAATAACTAGGCATAGCTCACAGGTCGACAGACACACTCTCGCTGTTACTGCTCGCGTGTATCTCGATCTCGCGTGACGGAGATTGGTCCGCATCCAACGGGGTCATCTACGGTGTTTATGTCGGCGTGATTCTCGTGCACGCCGTCTGCGCGGTGTTCGCCGGGCCTATCATGCCCAAGATCCAAACGTTTTCGATATTTGTCAACGTTGCGATGATAGTGGCAACTGTGGTAGCTCTTCCTGTCGGCAAGATCAGCCGAGGCGGGTCCCTCAACTCGGGCTCGTTTGTATTTGGGGATGTTGAGAACCTCACGACGTGGCCGACGGGCTGGGCTTTTATTCTGTCGTTCCTGGCACCGATCTGGTCTATCGGGTTTTTTGACTCATGCGTGCATATGAGCGAGGAAGCGCTGCATGCTGCCAAAGCTGTGCCTCTCGGGATCCTGTGGTCCTCGGGCTGCGCCACTTTCCTGGGATTCCTGGTCTTGTCCGTGATTGCCGCTTCGATGAACCCGGATGTCAGTGCGACGATGGGCACAAAGTTTGGACAGCCTATGGCGCAGGTAAGTCATCTTCGGGACGTATCCGGCGGCAGACTAACGGCCCCAGATCTACTATGACGCTCTCGGCAAAAGAGGAGCACTCGGCTTTACGGGTGTTTTGATTGTCATTCAATTTCTGGTCGGACTGAGCTTGGTAAGACTCCTGCGACTGGCTCTGCGAAAGTAGGCTGTACTGAATCGACCAACTAGATTGTGGCTGCGTCCCGCCAAGCATGGGCATTCTCCCGGGATGGGGCCCTCCCCTTCTCCGGCTACTTCCGCCATGTCAGCAAACGCATCCGCTACCAGCCGGTGCGAGCGATCGTCGGGCTGGTCGTCGTTTGCATTATCTTTGGACTGCTGTGCCTGATCAACTCGATCGCGGCCAATGCCTTGTTCTCACTTTTTGTGGCGAGCAACTACGTTGCCTGGGGAACACCGATTCTATGCCGGGTGATCTGGAGCAAGACGCGGTTCCGGCCGGGCGAGTTCTACACGGGAGCACTGAGCCGGCCGATTGCCATTGTGGCCACTGTGTGGTTGGTGTTTGGGCTGATTTTGTCCATGTTCCCCAGCGGAGGGCCGAATCCAACTGGTAGGTCTCTGGCGCCTGTTTTACGGATTACTGCTGACCTGTCCAGCATCGACTATGAACTACACGATCGCGATCAATGGCTTCGTGTGGATTGCGTGCATGACGTATTATTTCCTGTTTGCGCGGAAATGGTACACGGGACCCAAGATGACCATTGATTCATCGGAGGTTGTCTCATCTCAGCCGGAAAAGCAGGAGTCCAACTAACCGATAGAATGGTTTGTGTATATGCAGGAATCAAACTAACCGATAGAAGGTTTGTGTATATGGGAATGTCAGATGCTAGTCATATTGGTTTAATAATCATCATTCAGAGGTACATGTACAGGTTGCAACCACCAGGTATTATAGACATGAAGCGTCGTAATCAAGGGAAAGTAAGAAACCAAATCAATCCCCACCCCATTCCCAATCATTTCAGAAAGATAGCCCAGCTCAATCATTTTAAATCCATCTACAGGGCAGCCATAACACCAAGCACACCGGCCACACCAGCAATCCCGGCGCCAAGGAAAGGCGTCGCCTGCGCACCCGCCCCCTGAGACGTGGACGACGATCCCGCCACCCCGGTACTGGTGCTCGTGCTCGTCATGGTGGTCGTCATCGACCCCGACGTCGAAGTCGTAGTCATGGTCATGGTAGCAGTGGTGCTGCTGCTGCTGGTGCTGCTGGTGCTGCCGGTCTCACTCGCGGAGCGGGTCTCGGTAGCCGTGGGGGTCCCGTTCGTGCCGGTCAGGGTGGTCAGGTAGTCGCTCCAGGCGGAGGAGGCCTTGCTCGCTGCGTCGGAGGCGCGGGACTCGGCGTCCGATGCGACGGAGGTAGCCCAGGACTGGACGTTTGAGGCGGCGGAGCCGGCTTCCGAGGTGAGGGAGGAGACGGCCGCTGCGCCGCCGGTTTGGAAGGCGGAGGCGATGGAGGTCGCGTCGGCGACGACGTTGGAGGCGACGTTTTGGCCGTCCGAGGCGATGTTCTGGGCTGCGGAGACGAGCGAGTCGACTGCGTTGTTGTTGTTGTCCTGGGCGTAGGCGGAGGTGGCCAGGAGGAGGGCGGTTGTGAGGTGGACGAGTTGCATTTTGGCGGTGGACTTGTCTTGTCTTGTCTTGTCTTGTTCGTTGATTTGAGTTTGGGTGTTGAGGGTGGGAGGGTAATGTAGTTGCAGTGGATGAGATGAAGGGTGCGGAAAGCAGCGAGAAAGATCAAGGCTTTATATCCGGTTGTTACACTGCCAACAACGACGCCATAAATAGCTCCCAGTCAGGCGTTCAGGGACTGGGTCGGGGGCTCCACCTCCAAGGCGCAGTTCAGGGCCTGCGTGGCGATGATGCTGCGTACACTTACACTTGCGGACTCCGAGGACTCCATACACAGATCACAATATTCCAAACCCATCCACAGTACCTTGTTTGACGTTTGACTGGAAATCATCGAATGACGACTCCCACGGGTCGACCGGACGAGGATGTGCCAATCACAACATCCTCAATCGTCAATCATCCTTGGCGGGTCCACTGCTGTGTCAGGCTGTTGGACAATTCCTGTATCATAAAATTGATGGTGATGATGTGCACAGCAAGCTGGGCTAGATGCAATTGGCACAGTCAGCTTAGACCGAATACATCATAATTGATCTTTCGACCGCTTAGTGTCTTGTCTCCAAGTTTGCTTTGATTAATGAGCGCAGCAGGGCTGTACGACTGGTATTTTCCAGAATCGAAAGCCACAGATCCACTACGCGTCGTTTGACCACACCAGGAATAGCTCTGTGGGGGGCCTGGGAATTAAGGGGAAAGAAAGCAATATGAATGGTTCTTGAGACAGAAGATCCATAGATCGTCAGCTTAGTGAGACAGGATAGTAACCATACCGCCAATGGTTTTTGTAACACTTGCAAAATGATATTGTGCTGCCTGCGATGCCAAGAGTGATGACGTTGCTGGCTGGGATTTCCTGGATTGTGATGCATCTGCATAGCATCATGGATTAGATATAGAGTCTTATCGAATATTTTTGCCAGAGGTAGAATAGTTCAAAGTGCCAATGACGATGTCGGGGTACTGGGGTAATTAGGTTACTCGGTTTTCTCCGAGTACAAGGGCAGGACTGGCCGAGGTGTGGCAAGGAGCGCCACAATGTGGCGGTGATGCATCGATTTATGGCTCGAGTGAAAGTGAAATGTTACTACATTTAGAAGAAGACTATGTACTCGCAGACTAGATACAGGAAGTTCCAGAGGGGCGACTTAGGCAGCAAATTGCCGGTAAGCTTGAATGATGGCCTCCCATCCTCCCGGGTGATTATACTCGGTCGGATTCGACTGTCCATCCAACACCATCACGTCTGTCTTGCGCGTGTTGATCGAGTACCACACCAGGTTCTCCGGGTTGTTGCTCACCCGCATCATGTTGCTCTGGCAATTTCCACTGCACTGGGTGCCGTAATCGCCGTACCACTCGCCGTCGAAGAATGCCCACGCCGCAGAATTATACAGCAGCACGTCCTTGCCGCCGTCGATGTTGGTCGCCAGCGCCGTTCGGCACTTCTGGTCGCCGCCGTCGCACCAGGAGAAGTCCGGATCACCAACCGCAGAGTCCGCCGTCCAGGGCGCGGGCGCCGTCTGAGTCGCACCGCTGCCCTGCATGTAGGGACTCTCGGACTGGAGTAGACCTGCATACACATTTTGCGCGTTGTGGAAATTGTAGTTATATAACCAGTGGTGCTCAGAGCCAGTGCCCGTCAGCCATGTCCCCTTGGTCGACTCGACCAGCACCCCGCGGCCTGTCGAGATGACAGTGTACCCCGACCCGCCGTCCAGGTTGTGATCCGCCGTCCAGCCCCAGAAGTTCTCGATGTAGGCCGACGAGCTCTCGGTCAGGTGCATCACCATGTAGGCCGCCATGCACTGGGAGGTGTCCTGGTTCGTGCACCTGGTCGAGACGCTCGTCTCGGCTGTGCCGCCGACAGTGACAATCGTGTTCCACAGGCCCACATCGCCCGGAGCGCTGCCGGCCATATTGACTTCGACAATCTTGGCTCCCGGGAGGACCTCCCACACGCTGAACCGCATATCCTGGATTTCTGCAACGCCCACCTCGCCCGGGTTGCCGATCTGGACAACAGCCTTCGGGTTGCTGGCATCCTTGAAGGCGTCGCCCGCGCCGGAAATCACCGACCAAGCCTCTCCGACGATCCGAGAGCCCGGCGGAATGACCAGCGTGTCCTTGACAATGTACACACCGTATGGGAAGTAGCTGATCTTACAGTTGGCCGCATTATCGGCCAGAATGGCGTTGAGGGAAGCAGAGTCGTCGGTGTATCCATCGCCCTTGACGTCGTGGCCTGCGACAGCCTTGACGTTGACGATCTGGTCACTGGCGTACTCGGCATAGGTCGGCTGGGCTTTCATAAAGAACTTGCCCTCGGACAGCAGCACGTCGGGACGCCTGGTGTTGAAGCTGGTTCCCGTCTCGTATTGGCCTGGAGTGACGTTGCCCCAGACCCAGGTGTCGACATGAGAGGTGCTGGCCAGTTTGACGTTGCCGTTGCTGTCTTCGGCAATGGCGTTTCCATTGTCGTGGGACAAGTTCTCGATCAATATCTGGCTATTGCGCTTGCCACCATCATTGGACGAGTCGTGGAACTTGATCGTAGGCCCAGAGTTGACAGAGGTTGAGTCTAGCAGAACCAAGCTTCCGAGTCCGTTGCTGGTCATGTCAATGCCCACTCCGCAGTTCTCGAAAGTAGCGCCTTGAAGCAGAGCAGTGTGTCCACCAGACGCTTTGAAGGCGGTTGTACAGCCGTTGAAGTGGATATTCTTGAAATTGACCTGCTGATTGGAGTTGTCGATACCAACGACACCTCCATTGATTTCCTATAATCGTCAGCTGGATGGAACATTCATTGCACCCAAGATGGAGGACGAACCACATCGGTTATCGCGATAGTAGACCCCGCCTGGACGTGAATACCAGTATGACCGGTGGAATAATTAGGCATGATGATTTTGACGTTGGTCAGACCCGAACCCTGCGCCACACCCCACTGCAGAGCCGTAATCTGAGTATCAGGTCGGAGAGCAGTCGTGTCCAACACCACGTTTTTCATGAGCGTCATGAAGCTGGTCTCTGGGGGACCATTCTTGGAGTCGTATCCATTCACGAGCGTGTCGCCGTTGAAACCGGCCGCCGCCTTAATCACAGGCGGGTTGATTGGGTCTCCGACAATGAGCGTGCCAACCCGGAGGTTGAGTGTGCTCCCCAGCTGGTAGGTACCACTCGGAAGATAGACCTGAGCTGGGTACCTAGTGACACCGGAGCTCTCACGGCTACCACCGCTGCCATTGTCGTTGATGGCGTTTTGCAAGCTGGCAGTCTGGTCGCCGGAGCCGTCATTTTTGGCAGAGTAGTCCAGAACATTACGCCAGACGGGGTAGTTGTAGTTCCCTCCCGCGTTGGGGGCATATCCGCGGGGATTTCCGGTGTGGTCCTGTTCAGCGAGCCAATACGTAGTTGGAGAGCTCTTGACAGGACCGGTGCAGGAAGGAGCACGAGCCCCGATGGCTGCAGATGAGGCCATAGCCAGCATGCTGGCCAGCGTGGTCAATGAGAGGAGACCACGCATGCTAAGCAAGCTAATGAGTGACTGTAGGCGAAAACAGATGAATGAATGAAGGAATTATGGTCTTACTGCCAATTCGAGAAGACGGCACATCGCTCATATATAACCCTCCATCTCTAGCTACATCGTTTCGCAGCCCCACGAGCAAAGAGTGTTGATTCCTGCATGAAGCTAGAAGGATTCGGTTATCACGAAGCGGAATAAACATCGCGAAGAAAGACCGGGCCTGAATATGACAGGGTTACACCCCATCTGCGACAAGGAGAGATAGGAGTTTCCTAAGAGAGAAAGGTGATCGTCAGTGCTAGGGCAATATAGTGAGACGGCGCCGAATTGGCCCCGATTTGAGACGCCTACAGATGAGGGTGCTTCCCGATCAGGGAAGTGGTGTTTGTGGATAGCTAAGATAACCCAATCATTCTGGCCAGCAGACGGCAGAGGGAGACGCCCCTGCATCAGGTTGATTATTGAACAGAATCAGATGGATTGTTTAAAAAGATTGCAGACTTGATGATGGAATTGGTACCTGCATCCTAGGTATCATGAGGGGCTTACAACGTAATACCATGTAGAGGTCTAGTTTCTGAGGACTTGACATGTAAATACAGTAAGAATATTTCGCTTTCTCGGACCAACGTATATCCGTCAGGGGCAGGGAACATTGGTCAGAGTGCCTGATGAGTGCCTGATTCTTCAGGTTCCGGATCAATGCCTCCCACAGACGACGATATCGTTGCCGACCTGACCCTCGAGAGATTTTAAGATCGAATAGCCTCCAGTTCCTGAATCAACTCACCTCGTGGAGTAGGGCATTCGGAGTCAATATACAAATAGTATTGCCTTCTCAACACGAACTGAAGACCGAAAGGTGATCAGCACAAGAATTAAATAATCCGATCGCTTGATCTGCAGATCGATCAACTCAGCCTCATCTCGCAGACGCCTACCAGTTCGGGGATCGGCCTTTGATTCTTCAGCTGGTCTAAGTCTCAGCCGAATCGTGATGCTTAACCTGGTCTGAAGTTAGAAGTCATCACTTCTTCTGCATGATACTGCACAAAATGGCATGATTTCTCTGCAGTGTGCTTTCCATGTCTTGTCTAGGGATGGCACAGTTGTTCATTGCTGACATTCGGCTATCGCTTAGGAGCATGATACGTGTCTTTGACGAAGCAACCTGGCAGTCTGTAGTCGACCATGGTTCGTTCGCGGGCTCGGGAATCTCCTCCGTTGTTGGGGCTGACATCCACGCAACAACGTCAAAAGGCTACCAAAGTCAAATATGATTCGAGATTATGTTCTCGCGCAGCTCGATTAATGCTCTTCAGGTTGTCACTCGATGCAAGCCCACTCCTTCAAAAGTAGGCCAACAACAGCTCGGAAGACAATCACTCTAACAATAGCCATGATAGTTCTTATCCGTTGCTCGATGAAGGTCTACTCACTTGCGAAACACAAATAACGACTGTTGCCTCATTTTCTGACATGTGATGTGGCCCATTGGTCCATGACGTCGGGCAGACGGAGCTGGTGTGGCCAACGCCATGGATAGGTGAAGTCACAGGTGACTTGAATGAAATTGTAGCTCTGCTTTTCCGATTAGCCACACCCATGGCGAACAGTGTCATCTTTCTTCCTTGAGCTGGCTTTCGTGGAATCTCCTCTTCGTTGCCTCTGCTACTCTGAGTACGACACAACAGATCAAGCTACATTGTTCGTATGTACCCTTAGGTGTTCCTTACTTCCTGTCAGGGTACGTACACAGCCGTGACTTTCCGGCGCTCTCTAACAATAGGTAGACGTATCCAATCAAGGCTTGTCATCCTGAGGTTGCCATATGTCTGACTCCAGGCGCGAGAGTGAGAGTTCGTCCATAACCTATCAGAGTTCATCCGATCCAGGAACAATCGAAGACTCCGGCAGCTCTGAAAGTCAAGGTTCACCACCGGCTCCGCCAGGAAGTCCACGGTCGCCTGAACAGCCGAGCAAGGATGAAGACGGCCGAGAAATTCCCACTATAGAGACCACCCCGACAAATGGAGAAGCATCACAGAGGAGACAGCGGGTTCGCTTCCGGTCCGCTCTCAGTGTCGACTACGCTAGTCCCGAAAGCAGTGAAGATGAAAGCTCTATTCGAGAAAAGGAAAAGAGTGAGCGTGACCGAGCGCAACGCGAGGATCAGCCACATCTCATTTCCACGCCCTACGTCCATGGATCGCTAGACATCACAGAAACTCCTCTTCGCGAGCGGACAACGGGAGAAGACCTTCAGCGAGCGGAAAAGACCTCTGTTGAGGAGAAGCCAGCAAGCACTCGGGCAGCAGAAGCCGTCGGCGATGTCGGTCGCACAGCCAAGGACAAACTCCGATGGCTGCGGGACACGGTGCACGGCAAGTTGTCCCGGTGGAGTGATCGGCTGGGACGCCCTGAACCAGGTGGGGATAACCTACAACCCGGTGTCTACCATGCCGAATGGGCATCAGGCGGCGCGGCGCCTCTGGGAGATGTGACTGACAACAAGGACAAGACTCACGAGGAAAAGAAGGCAAATCAAGCCACATCCACATCTGAAGCGCACCGCCTGGTGCGTGAGCTGACGCAGGACCAGTCCGGTAATCGGCGCAGTGCGCAGGGGAAGCCATACCCACACACCGGCACCAATTTGCAGGGCGGCCAGAACGACTATGGACTTGAATCGGGTCTGCGGTATCGAGCCGGTGGTGGGGGTGTTCTGTCGCAGCTGATGAAACTGAATGGCGGCCTGCAACAAGGAGGTGGACAACGATCGCCGAGCATGACCTCTGAGCCCGGGACCTCGGGGACCACAACTCCGAAGAAGGAAAAGTTAAAGTGGTACAAGAATAGACCGCAGAACCGGTCGACGTCGACCCTGGTTGGCGCTTCGGGCAGCCTGAGTGGCGCGAGCACTCCTGTGTCTAGCGAGATCCTTTCCGCCGCGTCGAAGCGCCGTGGTGGACAGCAGCCCCAAAGGGGGTTGCGGCTGGAGGACGAAATCCAGGTGACGGTGCAAATCGCGGAGATCATTGCGCGCCAGCGGTACATTATGCAGCTGTGCAAAGCGCTGATGTCGTGGGGCGCCCCGACGCATCGGCTCGAAGAGTACATGCAGATGACGGCCAAGGTTCTCGAGGTGGACAGTCAATATCTGTATTTTCCCGGGTGCATGATCATGTCATTTGACGATCCGTCGACGAGGACGACCGAGGTGAAGCTGGTTCGGGTGGCTCAGGGGATTAACTTGCAAAAGTTGGCCAACACTCATCGAATCTACAAGAATGTAGTGCATGACGTGATCGGGGTGGAAGAGGCCATCCAGGAACTGGAGGAGATCGAAAAGAAGCCGCCGCGGTTCAACAAGTGGATCGTTGTGCTGGTGTACGGATTGGCGTCTGCGACTGTGGGACCGTTTGCGTTCAATGCTCGGCCGATCGACATGCCCATCATCTTCTTCAACGGCTGTCTGCTCGGGCTCATGCAACAAGTGCTCGCACCTAGCTCGGCGCTCTATTCGAATGTCTTTGAGGTGACGGCCACGGTGCTGACCTCGTTTCTGGCCCGGGCCTTTGGTAGCATTCCAAAGGCCGTCATTGACGGCAAGCGGCAGTATCTCTTCTGTTTCTCCGCCATCGCCCAATCCTCCATTGCGCTTATCCTGCCCGGCTTCCTGGTGCTGTGCAGCAGTCTCGAGCTGCAGTCTCATCAGATCATTGCGGGGTCGATCCGAATAGTTTACGCGATCATCTACTCCTTGTTCCTTGGATACGGCATCACGGTAGGGACGACCATCTACGGACTGATGGATGGTGCCGCGGTATCCGACATTAATTGTCCCAAAGCCGGGGCCTTCAAAAACCAATACGTGCAGCGGTTCCCCTTCGTGGCTCTCATGACCGTTTGGCTGCTCATCATCAACCAGGGCAAGTGGAAACAGTTACCCGTGATGTCGACAATCGCCATGTCCGGGTACATCACCAATTACTTTAGCACGAAGAGGCTGGGGTCCAACTCGCAAGTCGCCAACACCGTGGGCGCGTTCACCATTGGCATCATGGGCAATCTGTACAGTCGGCTGTGGCACGGACACGCGGCCACGGCCATCCTCCCCGCTATCTTTGTGCTGGTTCCCTCGGGGCTGGCAGCGTCCGGGTCGCTGATCACCGGCGTAGCGTCGGCCGATCAGATTCGGCACAATATTAGCACCCCCTCGGGGTCCCAACAGCCGGGGGCGGGACTGTCCACCAATTCGTCTGTGTGGACGCTGGCGGTCGGGATGGTACAGGTGGCGATTGGCATTACGGTTGGACTGTTTCTGGCTGCGTTGGTGGTGTATCCGTATGGCAAGCGACGGAGCGGCTTGTTTAGTTTCTAGCATCCTTGGGTAGATTATGTCTATATGTATATGGACTGGCCTGCCAGTTTCGTCTATGATCGAGTATGAGTCCAGATAATCTCCCCGACCAACTCCAGCAGATATCGCTCGCGATGTACGAGAATCCTCATCCCGTCGCCTTGTAGAAAGCGCCGACACTCATCCAGCATTCGGGCTTGCTCCCTTGCCGACCCTGCCATGAAATCTCTCGGTGCAACACCAATGTCTTTAGTAGATGTATCAACCATGAACAGATGATGATCCTTCCATCTTCTGCCCAACCACTCGCAAAACGAGTCAAACATTTCATTCCGCACAATGAACCCCATCAGCGAATCCAGCGGCCCGTTGCCAACCAGCTCAGGCAATCTCTCCTGCAGATCTAGGGTCTTTTTCAACTCACACACCACCTCTCCTCCGTCCCCATCCTCCTTCTCCCCATCCACCTTCCTGGGACTCTGAGTGCATACAAGGCGGTCATACCCCAACCTCACCCTCCAGAACCAATTCCCCGCAATCACCACCACCACACACGGAACCAAAACCACATACCCCCACCACATCCTCGCCGTCATCATGCTCGCCATCCCGGCCACCAACCCAGTCACCCCGTTCACAACCCCATGCCACTGCAACCTCCTGTACCGGGCCCTCACCCTCCTCCGCTCCCTCTCCCCCAACAGCGCCCTCCCAGCCGCACCAGCCGCAGCGCGCACCCGCCCCTCCAACCTCCACCCCCGCCCCTTCTACACCTCTGACCCCCCC